GCATGCTGCAGAATTGCTATTAAAAAAAATTAATTTACAGTCATTTTTTAAACACCTAATTTCCCCACTAGCCTGTATGTAACACTACTTCAAACAGCTACACACGGTCTCATTTAGTGAATATATGAGGAAGAGGTCTGCATTATGTTTGCTAAAAGAACTAGGATTTCAATTCCATCTGCTGCTGGGTGTGTTTGATTTGTATATTAATTATGCCTGTTTGTAGCTGTAAATTTGCTCCAGATTAGTAGCTGATTGGCTCCGCAGATGGATTCATTACACTGCGTGGCTCCCTTGCACTTTTATAGTTTTCAAACGATTCCATACTTAGGCTTTTTAAACTGCTTTTAATACCTCTCTTATTCAGTGTGAGCTTTCAACCCTGTCTCATGCAGGCAATTTTTTTTCCCCTTAAGAGAAAACATGTTCCTTTGATTCTTCTCTTCGTGGACCCTTTGGCTGGTGTAACGTCAGCTTTGTCCATGGTGCTACTCTAAAACACAAGACAAAACTGCTTCTTCTCCCAGTCTCACAGGGAAATTCAGCATATTCACATTTAGCATTTGCTACGTGGAATGACTTAAACTAATGGGTTTAGGAATTACACGAGCACTCAGCAGGGCGTATATACATACCCGTTACTGCGCAAACTTTAAATGCTTGTCACGTTGAAATAAAACTCTCCCACATGTGGAACATTTTTGCTCTTGATCACTGAGTTTTCTCCCTGGTTTTCTAAATGCCCAAAAGTTCTGAGCTGTCACCTTTGTAGTTAAGACCTGCGAGATATGCTTGAAAATGTAACACATCTGAAATAAGCTGCATAAAAACTGCCTTTGTGTCTGTGTGTGTGAATGTTTGTGTACACTTAGAAAATAAATGTCAAAGAGGTCAAGCTGATTTCCCTCATATTTTAGGAAAAGAATCACTCTGAGCTGAAAAATTGTATGCCAAGTTTCTGCCTGAAGCAAATTTTTACGATCAAATTAAAAACCTTTGAGACTAAGAGTTTATAATGGAAATACTAACACAGCCTTAACCATGGCAGCACTAGCAGGCACTGAAATAATATTAGGAAAGCTCTCCCTGCCCACAATCTAAACTAAATAAAAAAGATGCCATTTTCTAACATATACCCCAGGCTAGCAAATAACAATGATTTAATGTACTCGCCCTGTGGTAATATAGTAGCACTGCAAACCTCTGAGCCAATTTTTCTTTTCTTTTCTTTTTTTTTTTTCTTTTTAAACATATATGCCCCATAGGGAAAGGATTGCAATTTAGCTCTTATTTGTGGATATATCGCTTTCATTTCGACAATTCTTGAAAGCCTTCCTGCTGTCACACGCTACTGTATGCGAGCACCCAACTGAATAAAGACCCACCAGGCTTTTTCAGGAGTTTATTCACAGGTTTGGCTTTGCTTATTGTAGTATGCACCACATTTAAATTAGATGAGGGCTACTGTAAAGCAATAACATTGTCAATGACTGGAATCTCACTTTCCCCTCTAACAGTCTGAAGCAAATTAATGTATTGGTTGTTCATTAACAAGTAAACAGTTTCTGCTACAATGTCAAGGAAAAAGAATGTGTTCATTAATATGAACAATCTTCATCTACAAAGATGATTTACACAATGCATGTCATGAGATAGCTTTCCCCTAACTAGTACACTACCAAACTGAAAAGCTGATTCTTAGGACTTTCTTGAAATTACAATATTGTTTGTTTACCAATAAGAAAGACAGTCTCAGTCACCTATGCCACCATTGTAAGCTCTATAGTAAGTACTTAAAAAAAGAGATATTTCTGGAATCACTTGTGGAATTAATAAAATTGATAACTACAGACTTACACTGCATCAATGATACATATTATTCCTGTGATAAGTTAAGCTAAAAATAAGATTAATTTGGTTATAGAAATTCCTTAAACAACAACACTTAAATTATTTCAAACTTGAAATTTTTCAAGAATTTTCTGAAAAAATCAGCAAACACTGGCTAAAAAAGCAAAGCAGTTTGGATACACCAATGTAATCAGCATGCCTAGTGCTTTTCTGTTAACCCTCTGAGTAGAACCATAGTATTCTGGATTTTTTTGTACACTAATGCTATGAAAATTGTAACTTACAGAAATATTAATTTATATGTCATGACTTAATAAAGCATGTTCTAAATATATTTGGGCTAGGCACCACATCTGGTGAGCAATTCATCCATCCTAGAATTTTACTTATCCACTAGAGAAGCCAGTCTCTAGCAACTATAAGGGGAGTTTAGACGATTGCCCTAGATTAGATGCTTAACTCTTAGATGAGACAACGCCCAGCTCCGCACCCTTTAACTAACCCTCTGCTATCACCTACCAGTACTACATTTTCACATCAAAGTTTGCTTACTGCATGTAAGCTCACTAGAATATTGCACTTAGGTTGGAGTCCACGTTACCTCCACTTACATTTAATCGAGAGGAATTAAGCTGGCAGTGGCCCCGTTCTGCTCTCCCAAGCTCACACTGTCAGGCATCTCCAGAGCCAAGTACGAGATGACCTGCATCACCCACTGGAAGTGTTCCTCTCCATCTCCCTGGGGACGGACGGTGCCTACCACGACGGCCACCCGTCTCAGCTCACCACACAGGCACAGGCTTGGTGGGAGGAGGTTGGCCTCGTATACGTAATAAGCATTAAAAAAAAACAATTGTTGTCACATTTAGCACCAATACGATGCAATGATTCAAAAGGGAAATGAGGAAAGATGTCAGAAGGAGTGGTATATATTACAGTAAAATGACCACAGTGTGCTATGTGCTCTCCCAGATTATCACATTAGAAGTAGTCTGTTATCTCCTATTTCTTTTTTTTTTCACTGGCGTTTCAAGTATTTTTAGGGCCACATATTCTGTCTTCACTTACCCCCTGGAATTCAGAGGTTAGACAAGAAAAAGGGCAGTAGCTGCCAAACAAGCCTGAACCATTATTATTTCCATGAAACCATCCACATATATACATATATATGGTTATATTTAAAAATATATATGGATATATGGATATATTTAAAACCATCATTGCAAACTCTTTTAAAACAGTTTAAATATTCAGATACCTTTCCTTGAAGCCTAAAAAGAGGCTATCAGCAATTTGAAACCCAATCTCTCACAGACCTAAAAATAACTTTAAAAAAATATTTTTATAGTTATGTTCATAAAACATGAGTGAAAGATCAGAAACATATAAGACGTTGGGGATGAGTAGAGTTTTCAGGACCTAGGATTATTTTTACATACTTTTTAAGTAGTACAAGATGGTGTAAGATGAAGGAGCCAAACATCTTATTTTAATGATAACCCTGTATTCCAAAGCAAAGCAAAGGTGATAGGAAAATCCCAGATGGGTTTTTCAATAATATTTCTCATGCATAAGGTAAGCATATTTTTATATTTATTTTTTTTCTCCTGACTTCCCTCTCTAATTAAGAAGAATGAACATTGGCCTTTGCTTTAAGACTGCCAAATTTTCCCCAACAGTCAGGGAGCACGTGGTATTAATGGACACTTTTTTATTACCAAATGTATCTCTTGCATTTACATGGCCGAGCTGCATCTCTTCTAAAGGGAAGGCTGTGATATAATGTGAGAAGGGCAATGCTGGAAAAACGTGCCAGGTCCCAACCTACTGTAAATTGAGGTAGGTTAAGTGGTTTAGCTGAGGGGTTGATCCTATGGAAAATAATCCCTGCCCTATCCAAATGTTACCAGACTACAACCATTAACATCACAACGGCAGTGGCTGTGCCCTGTCTGCCGAAGGTCTCCTCTCTGCAACGCCTCTAGGGTTGGATGGCCATGGTCAAGGATCTGCCACAGACACAGCTCTTTGCCAAAACCTAAAATCCGAGAACTTTGGTATGGCAGTTCCTTTATCCCTTCACCTCTTGCCCCTGCGGAGTTCTCCAACGAGACACCTATTTGGGTCACTTGGGTTACTCAGGTTCCAGACAGGAGTAACCAAGGCCGTGCACAGGGCTCCTGCCCATGGACGTATGTTCAGAGATCAGAGTCTCCTGACGACTTCGCGTGAGGTTCATTCTACTAAACTCATAATCTGCATTTTGGTGCCTGAGGTAAGCTTCCACCAGCAGTTCCTTCTACGGTCAATGGAGTGAGAGCAATAGAGGAACCAAAGCATGAGTCCTGCCTAAAATGCGTGCCCATGACAGGTGAGATGAACCAAACCTGGAAATGCTCGTCTCTCTGTATTACCAAGGAAGTCTGGAGACCTAGTTTCGACTAAATGTCTCATTTCTAGATTATTAACATTGGGTGAATTTAAAAGCGTTCTGTATGAAATACTTGTACCACTTGTGTGAAGATTCACAAGATGAAATTCCTGTATTCAAAATCTTCAGAGCTTTTAAGATATAAATTTTCATGACTAAGGCAATCAAAGATGCACTTTAAAGGATGGAGGAACAAAAGAATTTCAATGCTTTTGAAATACAGTTCAAACAATACTTCCAACTAGAAATACAAAAGAGCATTATGCTAGCTCCAACAAGCTGCAGGTACACATTTGCTGCCACAACTGCTCGTAGGGACAGTTCCATCAGCAAACACAACTCAGAATGGAACTGTGGGCAGCTTGCCCTGTCCCTCCAAAATTTATTTATACTTCCCAGCAAGATCAAAAAAGTCTGCATATCTTTTTGGGCAGCATATTGGTATTTCTAGCTGTATGATATGAAAGAAAAAGGGAGAAAGAAATAGAGAAAAAGGGCAAGGGGGGGGAGAGAGAGGGGAGAACACACTTATGTGAGTTTTTAAAAACACTGTAAGAAAATTTCAATATTAGAGGGGGAAACTTCCATTTTATATGAGTAATAAGAGGAAGTATAAATTTCACAATGTTGTTTTTTATTTTAGAATAGGGTTTTGGAAGTTGCCTTTTTCATTCAAATGAAAATTCTGAGTGATTTTATAATCATTTTTCTTTCAAATTATCACATCTGAAGCAAAAGCCTACAAAGTGTAATATTTCTGTGGAAGCCAACTTTCGGATAAAGGTTAAATAAAATGCTATAATGCTGTGTTGAGCTTTTAACAAACCAGAAATATGTATACTCTGTGTAAATGCCCATTTTATTAAATATTACAAATAGAACTGGTGAGTCATTTTTAGTTTCTCCATTCTAAGACAAAACTTTCGCTAATTCAGTCTAGGCTTTACATATATATATTAAATGACTTGCATTTGCCCCAGTTTAGAAGTACTCTAGCTATTTTAAGGGTAATTCTCATCAATGTTAATCTTTAAAAGTGACTCTCCCGGAATAACCAGGTCACGCTGAGAGGATGCCTGTACATTTCTGAATGTGAGGCAAAGGAACCAGCAACTTCTCAACTAGATCATTACATACCATTACATGACAGAACTTGTCCTCAAGCCATTTCCCAGGACTCTGCATTGTCATTAGCAGCAAACGATATGGAAGCAACCTTTTGTGGCCATCATCATGTCATCCTCTGTAAACTATGAGGCTGCCCTAAACTGAATTTCCCATTTAGCCTGCATAATATCCTCCAACAAGAGTCGCTCCCTCTGGAAGTACGATGCAGGTTTAGAACGAGCTGCTGTAGAAGATACCGTTTGTTTAATTTTATTTTCATTTTTAAAGCCTATATTTGTAACCCCTAAGCAATAGTGCATTTGATATTGTTTTGGCCACAAACAGGCAAGGAACTTTAGGGTACTATAAAAGATATGTGCGTATAAAAGCAAAAAAGCCAGAATAAAGCCCTAATGTGGGTTGTCAAGATTTAAGCTGATCATTTACTCAGAGGGTTAACATGTGCTAAAATTACATACTGCAGTTCCTAGCTTCACTGATGAAAACATTCACTGCTTCTATCTTTAAATAAAAAAGCAAAACAGCCTTAACCCTTTGAGGATCGTATTAGCAGCAAGTTGCAATCTAAACAGAGAACAAGTTTTCCAATCAGTTCGGAAATTATTCTTACAAAGATTCTGTGAGCACCCTTTTGTGTTCCACCATCCCAGCGTTTACTGCCGGACAGATCAGCTGTAATCACTTCACACAGCTCTGAAGGATTTTCAGGATCTCAAAGGGTTAAAGCCAAGACTTTTGAGTAAAAGTGTTTTATTAAAAGGGTGAGTTAGGTGAGCGAACAGTCTCGGATGAACTTGGTGAATAGTCTTCCGATTCGGAGTTGAGTTCAGGTGGAGCTTGCTGTGCCTTATAACGTCCCCTCACATCCTGGTTGCGTCTTCGTCGGAAAACCTGCCTCTCCTTATCAAGAGCGGTGGTCTGGCAGGGGCATAAAATAAGAATAAATGAAATTAGGCTGTGTGTGAAATGCAAAGCTAATGAAAACCATGCGTTTTTATGTGGCCTGCAAATACCAGGGATAATAAATGTTCAGACCAAATTAAACCTGTTCTGTCTCAGTCAGGTCTGAAAGGGTGAGCCCACAACATAGCTAAATGCCTTAAAAGGTGCATTTCCCAAATCTTAAGAGGTAGCGTGACATCATCCAGCAGATACAGTACCATATATATGGATGCCATATGTTCTACTTCTGGATGCTATTAATTTCATCCTTTAATAGATTCAAATTTCAAGCCAGATACCAACTGACCTTCCCCCCACCCTTCTCAAAGGATAAATCTGTTTCTACAGGCAAGGCAGAGATGTACGCTCGTCTGTGATTTGACCTAATGAAGGCTGATACACACTCACCCATGTTCAAGTCAGTGCAATCGGCTAACAAAGATGGATTGTGATGAAGTTGTCAGACAAGAGAGAAAAACAAACACCGAAGGGAGCTAGCCCAGCTCTTTGACACCTCCTCATGCCGCTCAATGGATGTTCTTAGGGAGAACGCTGAAGAGCTCTGACGGAAAGACCCGTTTAGCCTGACCACCCTGTCTCCTCCCGTTAACCAAGGTCTAGTGAACGAAATACCCTGCTGATCTTATCTAGGTCTATCTAGACTATCTAGGACTGGGAAAGAAGAACGTTTACGTGATGGGCTTCATTTTTTGATCAGTTTCTGCCACTATTGAGAATGCAAGTCTTAATAAGATGGCTGTAACTTCTAGCCACATCTTTTTTTTCTGCTTTTCTGGCACATTTACAAGGTGAAACTGCAACCCAGGTAAGGGCAGCCCAAGTCTGACTAATGATTTCAAGCATGGGACTGGGTTTCGCTGTCTTCTCGATTATGGGGTATTAAACTGCAGTCCCTGTAAAATTACAAGTTCAGCAGGATGGCCTTGATTCAGCAAGAGCACTTTGACACATAGTTAACTGCCTTCTGAAGCAGGGCTGCCTTCTTAAAACATGGCCCGTGATTTTTTTGGAAAAAGCAAAATGGGAAAAGGCAGGTGGCTAGTCAGATGACATACAAATTGCAAACAAATAGCTGATCATGGCACTGGAGGCAAAGATAACTTTGAGAACTGAATAGGTTTAACTGCTAAGGCTTGTAAAATTTCTCCCTAGTATGAAAATCTCCTTTTAAAAGAATGCAGCCAAAAGGTTATTCTGCTTCAAAGGATTTATTGTTTTCTCTTGAGATATACATGACTGATTTCTCTGGAAAATTTACCAGTTATAGTGTGAGCCTCATAGGAGAGCAGAGATGTATTTATAGCCAACATATTTTTGAGAACAAAATGAAAACTAAATCCATCATGCTGGTGCAGAATAGCATTATAGCAATCCATGCTCTAAAATAATGCAATCAGCATTCAATAATGATGTAACGGAGACAGAAAGATGGACAAGAGTACAGAGCTACTATAGCAAATGGATTTAGTTAGGCTAAATTGCTGAACTATTATTTTTGTGTCTAGAACCTATGTAGCACTACTTTAAAGGGGTTAAATAATTAACTTCAATAAGTTCATCCCCGTATTTTAAATAATAATTGCTACAAAATCCAACACTTCTCATCTGCTGAGAATTTCTTTGTTTACTGCTAATCTTTTGCTTAAGAGCTCTAATTAGTATTTTCAATGCCTTTTACGTTTCTTAGCCTTGAACCAATTCAGTTTTTGATTATTTTTTAATGTGAAACAGAAGAATACCTAAATCTTTTACACACAATGAATATACTGCATACAGTATGTAATTCTGTGTGAAAATTGAAAAGAATGGCATATATTACCATTCTATAAAATACAGATTTCCATTTAAAAAAATTTTTATGCTTACAGGAAATAAGCATTTACTTCAAGTTTAAACCACATCACATCATCCTGTGGTAATAGATACTCTCCTCTGAGAAAGTTAAACATTTCTGGTCAAATAAATTAAAATACTTGTATTAAATTCAACATTTATTTTTAAAACCTGCTACATGAGAATGGTAAATGTATATGTAAAAACTGAAGGTATTTAAAATTAGATAAGTTACACAGAAGAGAATACTCTTGAATAAAAGACTGGTTTTGAAACTCAGCCTAGGATATTGCTTCTTTTAAAGGATGAAATTCTAAAACTGCAAAACTAGTTAGATAATTAAATATCAGGACATCTTTTTAAAGACATCTTTAAAAAATAAGCCCCAAGATACTAGTTTTCTACTATTGTTGCGGAAGCTTTGGGGGCTTTTGTTTAAATGTATTTGTTTAAATATACATAAAGGCACTTCCTGCCTCAATAATAAAAAATGTTAAGCAAAAAACCCCCGATGATCTTACTTAATCCAGCACCTTATGCTGTAGTTTGTAGGAGCAAATATTTCTGGCTGCCTAACCCTTCAGAAACTTCCTGAGGTATTTTGAGACTATGTTTTTCTTTACATTTTTATCCAAAGTCTCCCCTCAATTTGATCTAATCAGTCTTTGCAAAGACATGCTTGTAGACTCAGGGGCATTATTGTGGTTACTCTCCTGGGCTGAGAGACATTCAGAGCTTTTCTCACCCAAATAGCTTATTGAATAAAAATGTATAAAGTCACAGAGAGCCAAAGAAGGGAGTATTTATATAGCAAAAGCAAAAATACACAGGTCATATTCTAACGTACAGTGTTTAACATGTCAGAACCACAAAATGGGTCACCTCTGGCCACAGACAGAGCACTCGCAAGCCCTAGAGAACCTGCAAGGCCGGGCTTATTCCGCCCAATATCGTGATGACATTTTGCACTTCCAGTGTCTCATGCCCTGCCAGACGGTATTGCCACTCTGCATTCTGCAGAAATGCTACTTCATTTAATGAAGTCACGGTTATTTTTTACCTCTAAAGAATTTCAAAATATGATAGATTAATGCTTTGGAATGCAGAGGAGATGGTAAGATACATTTGAGTATTGGCTGCACGTATTTTGTATTTTGTACAAATACAAAAATTGTACAAAGTATTTTGTAAGTGCAATTTTCACCTACTGTACCCTCTTGTGCACGTGGGCATATTCAAAAAATCAGCTTTTTCATTATTATTATTACTCTTTTTGTAACAAAGGCCTCTTATATACATTGCCTCAGTTTAATAAATGTATTATTTCATCTACCATTCAGCTGGGTGGTTCGCTGGTGCATGAACCAGTCCATTATGGATTTCCAGGGCATTTCTACTTTAAGCTACTCTTTCGATAAGTAATAAGAGGATCTGAAGTGCACTTATGCTTCACAGGGCTGCAAATCCCAGATTTTCATTATCACATTTTGACTTTTTTTCTTCCTGGCTCGAGGTGAGAGGGTGAGAACTTGGGAGCACTATATGATAGTAATGGCAACTAAAGTGTAAGGATAGTGTTCTTATTTAAGATATGTGGCTGTCCTCCTACAATCCATATGAGGAAATGTAGAGCTTCTTATCCAGCAGCAGATAAGTGGATTGCCTCTAATAGTTTGGTGCTGATGGGTCTGAAGCACTTCATTAAGCACTAATGTATTTTGCATCAGCATTTAGTAATCCTGACACCCAGTACCAAATGGTTAACAAGCCATTTTTGGAAATGCATTTAATTTGAAGTAATGGAGCATCATTTTAAAATCATTGTTTCTGTCACCTATATACTAAGGTGCGGTTAGCATTTTTCCAGGATTTTCCATAGGGAGTGCCTTCATCCTGATTTCTGCCTCTTGATGTTGCAGGACTCCTGAGCCATACAAATTAATTTTTTATCTTGGAAAATGTTGAACTCTGTGTTTATGAACAGACATTCAAAAACTACAACTGCTTTGATATATATGTTGGATTTGCAGTGGGAAGCACCTTATTTTAGCTGTGTGGTGATATTTTCTCTCAGGTCAGTAATTACTGGATTGAAGTAACTGCATTTTATGAATGCGAGCAGTGACTGTTTTTCTTTTCACTTGTCTTAATTTACTGCTGGCCACCAAATATAGATATATATTCATTTCATTAATAAAAGAACATTATTGTGCATTTTGCCTCTTAGCCCATCCATTATTCATACCAGCCAGGAGACTGAACTGGGGATGCAGCTGTTCACGCATTAATCCAAGAAACCCTTCCCTTCACTCGCTTTCATTCTGCAGGAGCATATTTGCAATTTGTTTGCAATTTTCATGATGCTTTGTTTAGTGTGTGGAATTACCTGGACATACGTATTGAAATACTGGTATTTTTCTTCCAGTGCATTCTTTTATATACACGTATGTGTATGCACATATCTAAATGTTCACAGCTAGGTATTTTTACCTTATTTCCTTAAGCTTCTGGCTAGTGACCTCGATATGTTGAGATATGTAAAGGCAGGTTTCCTTACTGTAAAAACGACCATTAAACAAAGCTCGTGGCTCGAGCCAGGCAGCCCTTCAGTCTGACCTTTTTTTATTTTTTCCATGGGTTTCTCAGGTTATATATATATATATAAATATATATATATATATATGTGTGTGATTGATTCATGATTCAAGACACTTTTTGGAGAGTACTTAAAACTTAGCAATGCACCTCAGTCCAGGAGTGAAAGACACATGTTATTTTTAGCCCCTCAGGCACAAGCTATAACTAAGTCAAGTTACACGGTGATTTGGAGACGTGCAAATGACCACATCGAGGGGACAAATTAATCGAGTGGATTTGAACCTAGACCTCCAAATACAAAAGGCCAGTGCTTTAGCGCACCATGTAACTTCTGGCATGAAATTTAGCTACAATGAAACTAAAAAAGAAAGAAAACCAAATCAATTTGATGTATGCTTTGTACTATATTGGTGAGTGAATACAAAGACAAGTATTCTACACATATAACTGCTGAATCCATATTGCTATATTTAAGTTTGTGTTTACTCTTTGACATCCCCCCTTTTTAGAGACACGATTCCTCAGCTGGTTTCAATTACACGTGGAAGAGTCTTAGTGCCAAGTTGTTTGCATGGGTGAATTTTATTTATAGTTTGTAAATCAGTTGTGGTTTTCTAAGTCAAAGAGCAGGAGAAGAGATTTTAAATGAGTTTAGATGTTTGCCCATTTTTACCAATATTCAGTTTACAAAGGATTTTATGGTATTAAAAATGGCACTCTACAGATAGCAAGCCTGATTCCCAAGTTCCTTGTCCCATTGCCAAGACGTCTGGCTGCAACTTTTGACTTGAAAGTGTATTGTATCCACTTGGGACAGGTGTAAGTAACCCGACAGATGCAAAGTAATGGGAATAAGGAACCAAACACAGAGGATGGAACTACGGCTTTTCAAATGAGCTGGTCTGATACTTTTTAAACTGTGACAGTAAGAACTGTATTTTAAAAATCCAGTATTTTACGAATTCAGTATTGACTGGATTGATGATTTCATTAAGCATCCAATGTAACTCATCTCCTTGCTATTGTCATTACATAGATAAGATCATTAATGACTTTTCCATACATTTCCTGGGTTTTATTTTGCTCCTTTAGCTTTTATATAGTGTCTGTGGATATCTAGAAAATAATGTACGCTAATATTTTATACTAATCTTGTTGTTAATACTACATATACTAATTTTTTCTACTAACATTTTACGTTAGATACAACCACTCTGGTGCTCCCTTGGTATTCTGAATCAGCCCAGAAAAGGCAGAAAATTCAGGCCATTCTGTCAGTAGCAGATTAAAATAACGTTAAGATTAAGACATAAACCAGAACCAGTAAGGAAATTCAGGGTCGAAGAAAACATTGGTAAGTTAGTTATGCAAAGTATTGCCTTCAGAATGTGCTGCCATTAGGAGGAACAGGTAAAGCACCTGAAGAAGGCTATGGACCCAACACTGCAACACTTGGGGCTGAAGAGAAGGCTTGAAATACTTTCACTCTTAATATTCTGGCTCAGTTACAATAAAGCCAGAAAACTGGAGTCACACAAACTGTTAAAAGCCTCAGTTAAGTACATCTTCAAGAAAAGTTCCTTATAAGAAAGTAAATCTATCAGTTATGATATATCTGAAGGACAATGCGGGTGCCATTTGGATTTGTTGTGGTCACTGTTGCTAAGTTCCAGTAGAGGGAAATTATAAAAGCTGAATGTATTGGCTTTAACCCTTTTACAAAGAGATCTATCAGAGAATGGGCTGCCTTTGGAGAAAAGAAAAAGAAATCCCAAATAATAGTACCTCTGCTTAGAGATGGGTGATCTTGGCTGTCTTCAACTTGAGTTGACATTGGTAATCTGGGGTGAATGAAGATGAGATTGCACCACCGGCATTAATTACCCACCCGCACCAAGGCTGGCTTTCCTGGCTACCAAGAACAACCAAGGTTTCACCAGCTGTGGGGCAGTGCAGACTGCAGGGGTTTAACTGGGACCTCCAGGTCTCGTCCCCTACTGACGCTGCTTTGGCCTCTTCTGCACTTCTGACTGCAGGGCTGACGTCCCGACAGCATTAGGTGGGCTGCTTTTAAAACATCTATCAGTCTGGGGTCCAAATGACCTTACTGATTTGGTCCCTGTGTTTTTTCTGTTCCTCATATTCAAGGAACACTGTAAGATTTTCCAGGCCTTACATCTCATACCTGCTACAATAACTATTACTGTACTGTACACGAGGTTTGTCGTATTCTAGTACCTCAAAAAAGTCACGTCACTTTTGCACATAATATCCTACTGAAAGGGAGTAAGACAGGATGCAGAATGACTGCTCGGAAAATTAGGACTTTGAGACACTTTGAATAGGGAAGTCTTTTAGGCAGAGAGAGGAAAGTGTTTTCTGGCTGATTGAAGGGGCAACTATTTAAAAAGATATTTAAAAGACTGCTAGAAACTATGGATGAAAACGATCAAAGGAGTGGAGAAGAAATTAATAGTTTAACGCTAACAAAGGGAGCATTACTTTTTCCTTGGGACCTGTTTTCATTTTTCCTTGTACTTGTGAATTCAGGTTAATTTTCATGGGCCTGTGACAAATTAACTGTTTTATAGATGGGAATTGATGAACCTTTTCATATGCTTTGCATTTGCCCTACTAAAAAGTAAACACTTGCTCCATCGAAATGGTTTTATTTAGACTGAAATGTTGGTCACTACAGCAGTTGCTTGTTTCTTGGAGATGAAAGAGGACCAAACACAGGGCAGTGCTTGTTCGGAGGTACCCCTGTTACAGCATTTCCTAATTAAGCATCTACACCTAGGAGCCCTGCTCTCCCAATTTGCCTTTCCACACTAGGTGCCCTGTTTAGAAAGCACTAATTACAAACATTGTTGTTACTGCCCCCAGCTGGAAAACAGAGCAGTTTATGTATGAATAAGGGAGATTATCGCCCATCTGCTCCAGCCCATTATTCAGGGATGTGTCATTTTGTATGCTGATGGCAGCCATTACTAGTGCTTCAGTCAAATGGCCTTTTTTTTTTTTTTTATAGCGTTTATTTATTTACCAAGTTGCAGAATTAGTCCTCCCCCCCTACTTTCTCAAACCGCATATGGTTTGTTTCAAAATCTGGGCTATGCAGTTAAACTGAGTCAAGGCCAGTCTGAGAGGGGATGCTCGCTTTTATCACAGGCTCCTCTTTCTGGTGGTCTGCTCCCCCTGAAGCTGGGGTTTTAGAAGATCCAAGCATTGTGTGTAGCAAATGGAAAGACAGTTTTGTTGTTTGGGGTTTTTTTTTTGGCATAAAATAGAAATAGTAAAGCAGAGAAGGAGTGTAAACTGATCACGGATAGCAATTAAACTCCAGGAAGACAAAGCTCATGGGCGCTTTCCCCCATTTTACAGAGGAGGCATTAAATTTGCAACTATTTGACAAAGTCCTGCTTGACACAAAATGCCATCTCTCCTTCGTAAGCAGAAAAGAAAAATTCCTCTAATACTATCAAACCCACACTCAGCTAAAGCCGGGCACTCAGGCCCCATTCTCCCCTTCTCCAAAACCAAAAAGCACAGACGCCGTGCTGCCGGCTCTCGGCCGCCTCACAGGGCTGGAACCTATGGAGCAGGATCCCAAGTGACAAGACAAAATAAACCAAGCCGGTTTTGCTACGTCCTCGCAGGTCGATGTAGGCGTAAAGCCACCAACGCGAGAGCGATAGGCTGGAATTAGAGGTTCTGCTGCACACGTCAGCCCTTGGAGTGGAAGAGTTTCTCAATTCTCGCTAGCCAGCGTTCAGCTGATGGTTGGGAACGACTTTTCTACTTTTTGCCTGAAAAATAGGATTATCTTTGTTTTTCCTGACCCCAGAACATCCATATCAGAATCTACTTCACCCTCAGTGTGCGCTCAGGGGACTGCTAGGTTTTACGTGCTGTGGCCCGATCCATGCACTCGGTGAAACGATCCAGGGTGGGAGTTTTACTTCACTGCAAACACTCGCAGTGACCATCTCTGCTGTTTCACTAACGCGGTTAATTTGCTGAGTTTTTCCAAATACCTCACAGACGAGCTTTTAAACACTGCAGCGTTAGAAAAACGCAGGTTTCGCAAGAAACTTACAAAGATTTCTCCAGCTATCAAAACGCGGGTCTCGTGAGTAATAAGAAGGAAAAAAGCCAGCAAATAACCACTTGATGGGAACTCCAGGGCTCTGGATTGATTGAGGAGCTGCGCGGGCCTCGCGTGGGCTATCAGACCTGGATCCCTCCTTGCCCCCACTCCAGAATAACCCCCTCCCGCCCAGAGCCCCATTTGATCATACAGGTTAAGCCAGCTAACGACAACCCTGGCACAGTTACACGATGAAGAAAAATATATTCAAAAGACTCATGCAATATTTAAAAAAATCAAATCAAAACAAATAGGTATCGGAAGGGTCTTAAAAAGAAAAGAGAAAGAATGCATTGTTAGAAACACAAGCTTACCAGCACATACAATGCATTGTATTTCATTGAACTTGGGAGAGTTTCTACGAACCGTGTTATATAAATGCATTGTTCAATCTAAGGTAAGGATTGTGTTTAGTGGGTTTAAAATGACAGTATATAGCTCCACATCTCGCATGGAAAAAGAGGAAAATATATGCTGAGAGCCTGTTGCTGCTCCGTGTGTTTCCAACCAGGAGCGCAGGGGAAGCAGATGCCTTAACAAGCAATAGGGAGGGGGAGGGTGCGTACTTCAGCATATCTAGTAGATTTTCTATATACACTGTCCTTTTAACTATAGGGGAATCGATACTGAGCATGTGCGATGGAGAGAAAGCTGGCGATGTGGGTGTGAGGGATGGTGAAGAAAGGGAATGAGGGGGTGTGGCATCTCAATCAAGATTAAAACGAAACTGATAAAGCAGCATATGGACCGGATAACAAATCAAAAAGCATGTTTATCCACTGAAGGAACTGGTTAATGGAGACTGCCAGCACGTTGCCATGGAAACACTGACTGTTGGCGCTGCACCATCTCATACCTTATCCAATACATTCCTGGTTGTTGGTAGTAGTCCAAAGACCCTGATCTCTTGATGGTAAACCCGTGGTCCAGCTGAGCAGAGAGAAACGGGGCAACTCAGTGGATCGACATTAGGCTAAAGAATTCAGACTCCAGAGCAAGCTGTTCCTTATTTAGTGCATATTTACTGTTTTCACTTTCAGAAGGCACTTATCTAACATCCTAGAGCTACGTACCAGAGACGAAAAAGAAAAAAAAAGTAAAGAAATAAAAGAAGAAAAAGATACTAACTCTAGATTCGGTCTTGCTAAATTAGAAGCCAATTTATTCAAGCTAAAATGGAGTTTGTGAAATAGGTTACTTAATGCATAATGCATTCATTTGAAAGTCTGACAAATATCTTGTTACCTCCAAAGACAGAAGTGCCCTTTTAAGTTGCACATACCAGTAATGGAAAATTATCTTTTGCAATTAAACTGAGAGGTTTAATAATTTAAAAAGAAAAAAAAAATGCAGTGCAACCATCACAAGGAGCAGGCTAGACAGACTACACAAGGCTTAAATTAGACTGCTTCATAATCATGGAATGTGTAAAGATGAAAAGAATCAGGTTTTGATACCCCATCAATCATGGTAATTCATTTCTAAAAATGCGTTAACCTTGGAGAGTAGGACTACTCAGAGCCATGAATAACATTGTTTATCATTTCAGCTTACACCTCATGCTCAAAAAGATAACAGTACAAAACTATTCAGTTTAAAATTGCACCAATTAAAGTCAAAATGGAAATGAACTTAACATTGTGTCCAGGAAAGTGTGCTCGTGATATTACTTAAGGAATACAGATCTTTTAAGTTTAGTTTATCATTAGCAGAATCATGTGCATAGGAACAAAGAAAATGTGTTGTTTTCTCTAAGCCTTCTGTGCTGCACTAACAGACGGTGGAGACATCATTTAGCCGAGTTAAATAAAATTTTAGGGGAAAATATCTTGAGGGAGACACTCTGCCCGCTTTAGAATTGTTAGTTGCGATGATTTTCACATTTTGCCCTATAAAGAGAAAAGGCCATTTTGTGCTTCAATAAGAGCGTGGCATATATTTCCAATACTGATGACAGTTTCTAATTTTAAATTCAGAAAAGCAGTTCAACACATTTCCAGTTACCAACCACTTCAAGGGTAGCTAGGAGCTAACTGCAAATTTAAATTTTTCTTGATGACTCCCCTGCAAGTGTGGAATTTAATAATTTATTCCATTTTGTTAAAACAATGCCGCTTTCATCTTATTTAGAATTATTTAAAGGACGTTTCCTGTTTAAAACCATGAGAACCTTGTACCTAGAGTTAATTTTCTGTTGGCTTAACTACACTGGTCTACTATTGCCATCTACTGGCTTCCCAGTACGCTGCACATAAAATACACAAAAGGGATGTCTTCAAAAGCAGATAAAAAATATCGCCCCCCAAGCGAATAGCTAAAAAGTAATGTAGAGAAAATGGGGAGAGTTGCTTCCTAACACGAGCCGAACCAATTTCGTGGGTGTGGAAGCCCTGCCGTGAGAAAGCTGGCAGTGGACGATGATCCCCAGACAACACGGACAGGAGATGGGAAGTGATAGCAGAGGCACGGGTTCATCTTTAAGCCAAGCAAAACTCACAGTCTAAACTTGGCTTCTCTTCCACACCGCCCAAGAAATCCCGCCGCTAAAAATGCCACTGTGGCATCTGTAATTTTATTTTAAAATCGGCAGAACGCAGGGCAACGACCCACCCAGAAGATTATCATTAGTCTTTTCCTCTGTCTTAACAATGGCAAAAATACGAGCACAAAAGTGACAACATACAGGCAAAGCTTTAACACTTCAGACAAGAACACAAACTAAACAATGCTGGGTTCATACAAGGGAGTACAGCACACCTCTGGATTGCAGAAGCATTCTTAAAAAATGATTCTGGCTCCTGGTCACTTTAGCCACTGTCACTAAAGCCCAGAGGGCACGGCCACAGGGTACTGTTTTGTGGCCAGAGGAAAAGAAAAGGGATGACATCCCTGCAGAAGTGAAGGGAAAAATCTATCCCCAAATTTTAACAATACTATTTAGTAAAAGTCTGGGTTTATGTTTTTAGTGCAGTATCTTTTAGAAACACCATCATGGAACTACAAAATACTGTTCCTATTGGAAAGCTGTATGAGAAACCAGATCCTGCAAATATTTTGGCACATGCTTAACAGTACCGCGGCCATTCTGACATGGAGCGGAGGGGCACAGTGTCTGCTCCAGAGAGCGGCAGTCAGTGCCTATGACAAGAGTTTAAGAACAGGGCAAGTCAAGTGATCTTTCTCCTACGCACCCTCCCATCCGCAAGCAGTGTTTTTTAGGGACTTGTTAATTCTCTTGCCGCTTTAAAAGCTAGCTCTCCAATTAAAATTTTGCTGGCAAAGCTATGTTCGTTTAAGGGAATTTTTTCCCAGCTGACATAGTTATGCTGGCAGAACTTTTAATGATGTATTAATGTATCAACAGAAAAGTCTCTTTGCCTGCATAGTTAATTTTGTTTGAGGGAATATCTTCTGCTACATCAGCAAAGGAACTACTTTGCTAGGCATACACAACACATTCGTTATCGTAGTTTGTCCAAACTGACAAATCCTTTCAAACGTGGACAAACTTGAAGTCTGGACACACGCACAAGAACTTGTAGGATGTCTCTGCCCTGATTGGTCAGACACGACTTTTACTGAGGATTACCACATCAGCAAAGCAGACCTAAGGCTGAACCAAAGGAGTCAATAAAATGTACTTGGACATGGCTGAAGGAAGCAGTAGCCACAGTAGCCGTATGTAAAATACACGTGGCTTCAAACATCCTCCCAGTCAAGCTGACCGCAAACACATCTTTAGGAACTCAGTTTTCATATTATAGTTTTAATTGGTGCATATGATAAATACTGCTTGAGATCTTTGAGGTGTGTTACTTCTTACCACCAAAGAAAACAGGCATATAATATCATACCAGTGTGAGGACAAATTAAGTACTAAATACCACAGCAGCTATCTCTGTACACAAACAGAGTTATAAAACTCAAAATAATGCTAATATTTATCTTTTATACTATTAAGTAAGCTATATAAATATATGCACATATTAACACATTTTCACAAACACACACGCAGACACAGATGTGTTATATAATATATAGAAGGCATCTCTATATTATATACACAAGCACTCTCTCAAAAAGTTACAGTAAACATACAGGCAGGCACAATAAACCAGTATTTTTTTAGAAAATACACTCAGTGCACATCTTTAGTGCTGAACAATATGTTACAGCATCTGTACATACTTTGAAAGTTCTAAATGTAGAGCAGTCTTTGTTAATAAGATTTACTTCTATGATATTTGAGATTGCACAGTTAAAGGAAGACTCCCAAACATAAAACCCTGATGACATCCATGTCAAATGTATATTAAGTATGCTTTCAAATGCAGAAACTACTATTAAAGGCTTTGTTGTTTTGCTTTTGGCTTTATTTTACTTATTAAATTAGTTTTGAAGAAAATGAAGGCAATTTATTCTTAAAATCAAAATTACCTAGCTTTCTGGAACATTACCAAAACACTAAAAAGGCCTGTACTTCCCCACCTCTTCCAAGTTTTTAGAAAATAATTGACACAAGCTAATCAAACCACCTTCTGAATTTTATAAAAATATTCTAAACATTTCTACTTTATAGGCCAAGTTGCAGGGTTAATCGTGCCAAAGTATGATCTTCACCCATAGAGATGATCACTAAAAATAATCTGTTAAATTTCCAAACACTAAAAAATAAATAAAAGCCATTAAAAATATAATTAAACATATACTTTTTTTTTTCTAATGTATAAAGTTTTGCAGTGGAAAGATTCACTACAGTGCCTTTTTCATTACTCAAGTGTCAAACTGCTGTAAACAATTCCTAAGCAGAGCAGCTGGGGCAAAGAAAAAAAAGAGGAGGGTGGGGAAATTAAAAACATAAAGGAGGCGAGGGATGGATGAGGACAGAGGCATCATTTCTCGCTTTTAAGCTTTGAAGTCATTAGCATGGAGGATCTGAGCAGTAATTCTCATGGACAAGCGTGCTGGCAGTCCATTCGAAAGGAACACGGTTTCAGCTAGTCTATACAGAACATACCTGCATTTCAGATGAGCAATGGGTATGTGATGTTTTAGTTGTGGGAGAGCTGTTGCAGTATTATTGCTTAAAAATGAAAATAAAGAAATGCTGACTATGTTAGCTGATGACTGAGAAAATCTAGGAAAAGCATGAAGAACAACTTGCTTCCATGTTGAGGACGTTCAGGGTTGGAAAGAAAAAATATGAGAGGCACAGCTTGAAATTTTAAGTACTTATACCAAGTAACTTTGAGAGAGTATCCGTTTTGCTGCACAAACAGTTCACACCTGTGAGCCAGATTGCATGTGCTGAGCTGAGTTTACTTCACGCTGATTTAACTCACCACTGGAGGGGCTGAGCTGAGAAACATGAAAGTGGAAACAGTACAAGAAAGTGTACATGTGCAGTCACACCACCTGCAATTTATGGAAGCTGGGAATGAACACTGAGTAATCTGATATGGGAATGGTTATGTTTAACGTGTCACTTATTTTTAGTGACTATTTGGAGCGTTAACATTACCATGAGTAATAAAGAAAAGCTTACAAACACAGGCAGATGTATCAAAAAGTGTGAAGGATGTGCATGTTACTCTTCAATGGCATATGAATAATTCCAAAATACACTGAATATATTCTGTGTGCATGTATATCAAATACACATGTTCATCTTTGGGGAAAAAATACGAACATATGCGATGTATGCTACACTGAGGATGCCACTGAAACCTCAGTACAGCTTGGTCAAAAGTTTGGTCAAGCTTGGTTTCAGAAGCTCCGACACGGTCTAACCTGGAAGGCCTAGACTGGAACTGCAACATGACAGAAGGCAGCAAGGAGCTCCGTTAAGTCTTTACCCAATTAAGTCCTTCTCCTCCTGCCTAAAGGGAAGCAGCTTGCATGGGGCAGTACAATAAAACGCGGCTGCTCGGGTGAATCTGAAGTGGCCAGTCTCATATCAGCTACGAAGGCAGCAGTGAGGCATCACAGCTCTCTTCGATGTCTTCAGAGAAGAGAAGCTTAGGCTGCCACACAGATTTTCTGTTACACTTTTGAAGTAATTTCCATTTTAAAGTGCTGCTGTCCTTCTACGACAACCTCTGTGTGGCCTCAATAAATGTGATGATTATGCTGCCAAGTAAAATGTCATGATCCCATAGTTCAAATTGTTGAATCTCCAGTGGAGTTAGGTCCACTGATCTTCTGGTAAAATGTGGAAATGTGTGTACAGTTATATCTCCTAGGGCTGTTAAATAACAATGTGACTCACAAGGAGAATCAATGGCGAAATTGTGCAGAACACCAGCCTAGCTACGTTTATAGTAATTAAACACTAGAATTATCTAAACATTAACCCTCTCCGGTTTCTTTTGGTGGCATGTCCTAAACACACACTGTCTTGGGGGCACATAAATTCAAGTGTTTCGGCTGTGTATTTCAGATGCTTACTGCTATGACAGAAACTCCAGCTGCTGTGCTGTTCGGTTTAGGGCCTGTGTTGAAATGCTTCTTTATCTTCCCAGCTACTGAGAGCTGATGTTCATTCTCTGGAAGGCCATCGTCCTGCAGAGAAATAAAGCAAAATAAAACTTCAGAGAGAAAAGGTGAGATAAAGAAATCGCGAGGCGATTCTGATAGCACCTGTCATATATAGAAATATATGAATATAGAAAAGTTTACAAAAAGTTTGTAATGAAATATGGGTCAATCATTGTCTCCATCAATATACCTAAGGTATTTATAAGATGAACTCCCTATTATGTCACGAACCAGCCTCTCTCTTCTTCCTTACCCAATATCTTCCTCTCAAAATTTAGGTAATGTTGATTAATAATAATTGTTAAATATTGTATTATTCTTTCTACCATGTCTTAACTACCACTGGCCAGTTTGGTTATTTTTAAGTCCATTCACATTTCAAAGCTTGATAAGCTCAGACCTGTTTATGATTCTGTTTACTCATCGCACAGATTTAAAGATAACGACCTCAGAAGCAGAAAGCGCCCAAGAGATTACGGAGACCAGAGGCCCTGCTTTGGTAGGACGCAGGAAAAGCTCTCCAAAAGCCCCGAGAGACACTGACGAGGTCCTTGTCTTGCCGTAAAGGTGACAAACTCGGGGGCTATGGGGTCGGGTGAACGTTGCGGCCATGGCGAGCCCCACGGCAAGGAAACCCCGGCAAGAGGGGAACGGAGACGGACCCGCGTTCTTGCTGCCGTGCGCTCCAAGCGAGCTCCAGCCCCAACGCCATGCGGATGGGCTCCCTTGGCAGAGCAAACCTGCCCACCCGCACCCAGGCACGCAGGCATCCTCGATGCCGAAGCGAAGCCCGAGCAGAAAGAAAGGAGCCTGCAGTTGCGCGCAAGTCAGCGGGTTTGAATTCAAGGCCGGGAGAAGAAAGGAGGGGTTTTTTTAGAAATTTTAAATAAGATCCTTATGCCTGAAAAAAAGTGCAAAAAGCCACCGTGCGGTGAGACTTCCCCGCTAGTGGGATATGCAGGATTTTGGGCGACAATGTGCAGAATAGGCAGAACGTGCAGGATATCAGGTCACTGGCCATCCACAGTGGTCATCCCAAGCTGGTACCACATGGTATGTGTGGCTATCAGCAGTTGAAAAAGTTCTTAAATTCCACATAAGCAAAATCCTAGCAGAATACAGGCAGACAAAAGACACGATCAGAACACAGAGGGATGATAGACACTTTTTTCCCTGGCTTTGCAGCAATTCTGCATGCACTCAGAGAGTTACAGAGTTGCTGCAGTAAATCATGAGTTCAGTGAGCATGTGGGAATTTGAGGGAGGTTGGTTAGGGTTTGTTATTTATTTAGCTTGGGGAGTTTGTGTTTAGAGATCCCTCACTCACCCCTTCACAAAACATCTCAGCTGGCAAAATATGGTCAAGTGCACACAGCTGCAAAACACAAAACAAAACAATACAACCCAGTAGCTGATTATTGTCTAGCACTGGGGAGTCTTGGCTTGGTGGTATGTGACCCCTAAAAATAACCTGCTTTCCGCTGACCTTGCCTTTCCCAGAAGAAAGCTGGTCTGTAAAGTGAACTCTTCTTCACTAGAGGCGGCGGGGGGGGGGGGGGGAACAATCATTCTCTTGGCTTTCTTGACATGAAAGCATGCCAAACGTTCATGTCGTCTTGTCAAAAGACTAAATTACGGAGAAGACAACAGTTACCAAGACTGTGGTAATATTTTATTGGTGAAGCACCACACCCACAGTTCCAGTGGCAACACGCCAGAGACACGTAGTTTGGGCTCCAGCTTTTAGATGAAATATCTTCCAGCTCAATTTAAGATGCAGCTCAGGGATATATGAGAATTACTCTACTGTTATTAAATTTTCTTACTGCTGTTGGTGCTACCTGGTGTTTAGTAGTTATCTTCTGTTTTGTTCCAACATGCTTTATAAAGAAGCTAATATATATTAGCTGGCTCCTGGAATCACTTCAGCCAACAATAAAATAGATAGATATTGAGGGTGAAAGATGACAGCTGTTTAACTACATACAAAACAGGCTGCTCTGCAGTTTAAAAAGGCAAGAAGTGAAAAAAAAACCCATCAGATTCACCAGAATCAGCAGGGTAAGTTGTAGAATTGGAGAACAGGCTAAACATTGCTGACAAGAATTTCATCAGGTTGCTGTAACAGGAAGGATGTCAGCCCCCAAAGAGATTAACTGTTCCTTTCCCCAATTTTAACCTTTTGCTGTAGGAACTACTTCTTGCAGTGGGTTAGGATCACGGAATTTCATCCCAGCTTTAGCAATCAGGACAAGATCTTGTAAAGATGACTAGTGATATTTGGTGCTCGACTCTGGGAACTTTAAAGGGTCATGAGCTTCAGAAACCGTGGACTGCTGACACTCTGAAAAAAGCAGAGTCCTGAGCACGTCTCAGAAGTTGAGCTGTCAAAATCCTTTGACAGTTTGAAAACTCTGGTCCAGAATTTGAGTTTTCACCTGGACAATGTAAACTGCTTGGGATCTTAAGATACATTTTTTTCTTTTTATTAGCCTCCACGATATACCTTTCATGGTCTGTTTGCAAGAAATCAAAATTAAAAAAAAAAAAAAAAGAGGCAGAGGGTCTTGGCATTATTTGAGAAATTAATAAACACTGTTTTCATGTTTGCACTGTTCTCTATAGCAGGAGACATCACCCCTCAAAGAAAAAAGAAGTGTTAAAAAGATGGAACGAAGTTCAGGATTCCCAGACTCCTACTGCACTGAAACACTCAGATCCATTTCACAAGCCAGTTAGAAGAGCTTTACTTTCCAGGTCTAAAAGCATCAGATGAATAGGTCATTATATAAATAATAGCAGAAAATGAGAGCAAATAGAAGTGCTGGAAAAGCTTTTGGACTCTGTTTCCTTTAAGGATTACAGGGAAATTTTTCTTTGGGCAATGTCTTAGGGTGTAACCAAAGGCAGTGCAGCTGCCAAATAAGAAATGTCTTTTAAAATTAACTTCCTTACAAATGTTCAGCTTATTACTATTTACTGCTTGGTTATTCATTTCTTTTGCACACAAATTTCCAAGGCAGACACGGTTAAGGAAATACGTAAAAGCTCCAGTTTCCTTAATTCTTTTTAGGCTGGTGTGTGCCATCTTGCTCATTCAGCAACAACACACCACATTTTATACTGATTATTTTAACAGAGAAGGATTTACAGAATGCAATCCAACCCCTTCAGCATTCATAGCTCAATGCTGTATTAGGAAATATTTACTACTTATACAACAAAAAGAGAGTAGGTTTGTCCTGTAACTTGTATAGTATAATTCAGGTTATCAATATCATCGATGTTTAAAATGCCAGACCTCAAGCTGCCAGGCTCTTTTGTAATTCTTTGGCTTTGCAAAGAATTTGAGCAGGTAAAGGAAAGAGCTGGGGTCCCTGTAGGGGAAGTCTAAACTGACGGATTTGTTTCCAGGTCTAAGTGTACTGCATAGGAGGGATAAATCCAAATAAACTAAATGGAGGGGGCAAGGAACTGCTGCTGAATTGCATTTAGAATTCAATATCTCCATCTGTGGCAGTGGCACGTAGCCAATATCTTTTCAGGTTCTGTTTTTTTTGAATTGAAACCAGCTGGGATATTATTGACATAGGAACTGCTTTACTGGTCTGACTCTGACCATAACAAGTTTTGCAGTTTCCAAGAGGATTCCAGCTATTTTTATAGCAAGAACTGAAACTGAAATGAGGGTTGGCTCCTACTGAAACTGTCAAAGCACATTCCAGGAATCTCAGCAATTTACCAAGTAATCACATAGTAAGCAGCTATAAAGTAGAATGGTTATTTACAATCTACAAAATGGTTTTATACAGTGTAAGCAGTTACAACACTTCTATCAAAGGTTTGATCAAAGAGAGAAAATGTTTCTTAAAATTGTCGAAGAAAACACATGCCTGCTTTTCAAGCCAGCTGTCCTATCCAGTATTTTAGCTGCAAGTTTACCACTCTATGAATAGCTTCAAAACCAAAATAAGAAAAGGGAAAGTCAAGTCCAGCATTTGATGCCATGGAAAAGTATTGAAAGAGGTTATCTGGGAAAAGGGAGTGTTACGTGAAAACTCCATGTGCCATTTCTTCTCAGAAAGACAGTATTTTATGAAAGTTGCAGACAATTGCTCAGGTAATTACGACACAGAGGTCGCAGAGCCTTTCATAAACAGGTATGAGTATATGAATTCCCTGTCCTGAGGCTGGGAAAATGAAAGCATTTTTATGAAAGCGTTATGAAAGCACCTGTTTCAACTCAGCCATGTTCTTATTTCTCCTGAAGTGAACTAGGATTTTAGTGCCATCTAGTTAATTTTCTGCCTAATATTAAGCGCTTCCATGTGTGATGCCTTGAAATCGGAGCAACCTTTGGAATGTGCTCAAGCACTTTCCTGAACTGGTCCAAGTGCTGGCTTTTCTCCTTCCAGAAAAAATATCTGGAGGATACATAAGAGAATTCAAAAGAGGTTTAGATCTGTGTTATGAACTATCGTTAGCGTATTGCTGAAGACAAAATACTGATTCATCTCAGTTGCTAAAAGCAGCAATTGGACAGAAAAGAAGAAATCACAGAACTGTCCTGGAATATGTGTTTCACTTATTTATGGACAGAACTGCTACAGGTTTTGATTGCAAAGAATTATAATCAGCACAAAACTACAAGAAGTGCAGCAGAGCTAGACCAAAGGTGAATTGAACACAGAATCTTGTTTCCAACAGCGCATCGTAGTCACTGTTCATGAAATAGTACATTTAACGAAGACAAGTAGATCTTGAACTTTCCCAGGTATATCCTCCAGTTTCTGCCAACCAAGTACTTAAGCACTTTGTGAGACGTGAGTTGTGTCCAGACCACCACACTTAATAGGCACTGACGGGTTCATCCTCCAAAAACGTATCAAACCCTCTTTTGAATCCATTTATACTTGGCCTCTACGGCATCCTCTGGCAAAGGGCTCCCCATTTTAACTTACTGCACAGAAACCCAGGAATTTGCCAGGGTGCTTCAGTAACCACAGCTTGGTCAGTGGAGCTCTGGAGCGCTAAAAGACTTCAGCCCCAGCCCCTTTCCCCGGCCTTCCCCACCAGCAGGCAGGAGCGAGGGCAGGAGCGGACCCTCGTCTCGCCCACACACGATCACCATCACGTTGCCGACAGAGCCGCACCTCTTCTTCTTAAGACATCACGCTAAAATGGCTTCCTAAAATACATCACCGTGTAACCGAAGCTAAAAAAAAACCCCAAACCAAAAAGGTGTCCGGGGGGAGCATTGACAGTTCCAATGTATTTTTCAGAAAAAGAGGAAGATTAGTGGCCACATCCTTAACGTGGTGTAAAGACGCGATGTTTCAGTAACCTCAGCAGCAGCGTGCAGACCGCCGCTGCGGGCGACCCGGCCGCTCTGCGGCTTCTGATCGGTCACCTCCATCTCCTCCTCAGCAGCGCTCCAGAAATCCCACCTCTCCTCCTCCCGTGGAGACAGACAGACACCTCAGCCACCAAAAGTCATTATAAACTGTGACAGAACACCACATGCAAGGACGGCACCTGGCACCCAAGAAAATTAATATTTCAGCTGCTTGAATGTCAACTTAAAAATGAAAAGATCTTCAGCAGACATTGTCTGGGATCCTTGCACTCTTCATACAATGCAGAAGTGCTCTGCATGATAATAGCATTTACAATTAAAAAAAAATGGTTTGGGCAATAAGGGAGCCTCCAAGACTAAAGCATATACTTGGTAAACACTTAACTGGTCACCACTATTCTGGGCTATATGGAGGACACTTTCATTAAAGAAGATTAACATTTGAGGTTAGTGCATATTTGAATTTTTAGAAGACTGGTTTAGAGAGAAAAAGATTTTGGATACAGCAGCTGAGGAACCAAATAGTATTCCAGGGAGGATTGCACACTCAGACTTGCAACAAACAAAACAAAACATAATTTCTTCCTCCTTTAAATTTTTTTCTCTGCTCGTCCCAATTGTATTTCTTTTCTCAATCTTCCCTTCTGAATTTGAATCTGGATTTTCTCCAATTTTTCTTTCTTGTCATCTAAATATTTTAAGACATATCAAATAGTCTGAAATAATCAACAAATATTAAGTAGTGTCCTTGTCTCAACATTAATTAAAGACAAATCTCTATTCTCTGCCAGATTTATCCGTATGCCACCTCACTGACTACCACTTTTATGGCAAATGTCCAGTCGCTTAGAGACAAGCCAGGATACATAAATAGCTATTTCATGGTAACTCAGATTAAATGGATACGGCTGCACATAAATATATGTATATTTCAACGTCAGAAGCTAAATATGATTCTAAAGGTTTCCCTGTTTCATGCTGGATCAAGTAGGCTTAACACTATGGACTATATTTCAATAGCTCTTAATCATGGCTGTCAGATTTTTGAGTCCATCTGATTTTAGGAGAGCAAAATGTGTCACTGAACCTGCAAGCTGATTGTTAGAGGTATAAATTTGTCAAGTGTGGTTGAGATTTGTTGAAAACCTGGCCCAAAATATTTCAGAGAAATTGTAGCTAAGCATGCATAAAACAATGAATACTCCAAGGTATGCTTGATACACTAAACCAGCCTGTAACCCAGCTTATTTCCAGTTATCTCTGTGGCATTTTTAGAATCTGCTGGCTCCAAAAGGGCATAGAAAGGACTTGGCAGAAAAGAGCTCAAAGGTGCCAAATTACTAGCAGCATCTACAAGCCTGAAAATACTTACATTAACCCATGGATGCTCAAGAACTTGCAAGGCTGAGAATCGCAGATCTACATCTACTTGAAGCATCATTGTGATAAGTTCCTGAGAAATGGAATACTGGGTCAAATTTAAAGAACATTTTTAAAGAACAAATCAACATTTAATTCACTAAAGTGCTCTTCAACTGATTATGTAAGGGTGCTCCAAGAGAGAGTGAACTACCAACTGCAGAAATATATTAAGATTATTAAAAAAAAAGAACTATGAACTGCTGAACTTCAAGCTGAACTTTTAAATCAATATCTAACAGTACCTTGAAAAGCTAGAAGACAGTTCTGAGTTACAGTTCTGTAGCCACTGTTTAAGAGAAAAGCACTTAATACGTAATGTACAAAACAGATGGTTGCATGAAATTAGGTTAGCTTCCCATTAAGAAAAAGCCAATTCCTCTGTAGGAAAAAAGCCAGCAAATCTCGAATTTTACTTTAAGCTCTTGTACAAATGACATAGAAGATATTAAAAAAAACCCCAAACACTTAAAACCATTATTTTCCATCCTCTGATTTTCTCTGCAATTACCTAGTTTTCAACTAGCATGCAAATAAACACATATCTAATTCCACCACTGAGTGGAGTGCACAGAAAACAGGTTGGCAGTATGACACCAAGTAAAGGGGTATCACCAAAGACCGAAGTTAATAATTCTTAGTGGCAAGGAGAAGTTAAATGAATAGGCTAATGCTTCAAGACAGAAATTTTAGACTGAACTATTTGGAAGAACTAGTTTCACAAGAGAACACCATTGGCAAAGGACTTGCAGAGTTCTCATTAATGATGGTATGAAATAAAGCCTGCTACAACACAATGATGTGGTTTAGAGGACTTCTTCCAACTCTGTGACTGTATCTCATTTGTTAACCTCATTAGTTAACAGGCTAAAACGCTAGTCCTAATCACTGTCCACATATCTGTAAAAGCAGGATGTAACTCTCCAAAGAATGGAGATTCAGAATGTAGAACGCTGTCTCATGACCTGCATCCACCTCCAAATTTCTTTTTTTTTTTTTTTGTGATTAATTAAACACTGTCAGACTGAAAGAAATAGGAAGATAGTTTTGCCTGGATTTGCCTTACAGGCTACAGAAGTAAATTAGCAGAAATTAAGCACTTATCTACAGGATGACCATATGAATAGCTTTATGTTTTGGCTTTCTTTTTTCTTTACATACACATATGTTTTCTCTCTCTCTCTCTCCCCATGACTATAGTGAATACCAGATCCCTAGAAAATCTATGAGTTAAACTGTTGCTCCAGTGCACTAATGAGAGTTAAAAAACTTGATCGGCTCTGCAAGTATAAAGAACTCTGTCAGGATCTGTATCTGAAAAGGGCCCTATCTGCCTTAGCACACCTCAACCTCTACCTCCTCTGTGCCATGTGCCAAGAGGCTACGGCCCATGGACCGGTGGCCAGAATGAGCCTGTATTTTATACCACGCTGACAACACTAAGGGGTCACAGGCAATGCGAGGCGTGGTTCTTTGACAGAAAGAAACAACAGACGTATCATCTAATGGGATTAACAAGGGGAAAACAGCCTCCCTATAATATTATTATACAATATTCAAAGGCTCCAGGTTGGTACCTGGTCCCCATCATAAGTACATATAAAGCACGGTCCCAGGGAGCTTTCAAGCTAAGAAGTGTAGGTCAAGCAAAGCTACTTAAAATTTTTCTTGATCAGTAAGGGCTGCTGGTGTCTCTGTTGTGTGAGACATCATATGGAGACAGGGTCCATTTCAGAGCCACCTGGAGTCTAACAGACAGACAGTGATCAAGCGACAACACACTTGGTGACCCAGAGGAATTTATAGGTGCAGCAGGAGATGCATGAGACATGTCAAATACAGCACCGTGAAAGAACAACATGCATTAGCTACTGGCAAGGGGAATAATACTGGAGAAGAAAAGCATCGTCAACTACAAAACCCACCTTTGCGGAGTCAGAAACGTTGTCCCAATATGGAGATGGAAAATCCACCTGTCCCATCAAAATCTGATCAAAAAGCACTTCTTGGTCATCTCCACTTCTGTAAAGTAAAAACCAAACAAAAACAACAACAAAACCCACAAAGAAATTATTTCCAGAGCTGGTTTCAATAGGCTTCTTGAAATTGCTTTTAACTGGTGATCACTTAGTATGCTTTTGGAAGCTGTGGATTCCCCCCAAGCATACAACCATGGGTGTCAATGGTGAGATCATAAAACAAAGTGCATTTGGTACATTCTTTCTGAGGTAACCTGCTTGTCTTTAGGATTGTCAACAACTGTGCAATTACTCTGAGGAGGAGAAAAGATCTGACATGTCCTTATTAGTGGCTTACATTTTAACTACCATTTACTGACCACAAAATATGTTGTATTTAGTCCATGAAAAAAGATGCTTATTTCACTGTGTATTTTAAACATCAGGCAAAGGCACCCAGAACCCGTAAGGGAGACTCTGGTTTTGTAAAGCAATGAAGTTTAAACTAAAATAAACAAACACGAGGCAGAGATTTTACAGTAAAATCACAGAAATTTATGGGGTTGTGTAAATTACTATGCAGAGCACAGGAAAAAAACAAACCCTACGAGCAGAGAACCTTTTCCAGTGGGAATCTCTGTGCTTAGTGCAAAAGCAGCACAGGGACCAATTCACAGAACAAGGATGGTTGAATAGATCAGTCCATACCCACGGAACGGAGGAAAACCACAGAGCAGGATGTAAGTAATCACACCCGCTGCCCAGATGTCCACCTTCAAGCCATATCTAGAAGTGTGAGAGACATGGTTAGAGACATCCGACTCCTATGAACTACAGCACAAGAACAGAGGAAACATTGTCAGCATTACTAATAATTTCTTACACATTCTCATCCAGACTTTCTCTATGTCCTACCTACCTATCTAATTCCGCTTTCAGATCTTTTTTACATCTTAAAACTACATTAGATGAGAGTGTAGGAGTGCACAGAAGACGTGCTGTATTCTCGAGCCAGACAGTGATGCCTACCAACATGAAGCCTGCAATGGTGACACAGGCTGCTCAAGCCAGCAGGCATTTACTCTGTGAAACAAATCAGAAGAAGAGGACAGTGTGATAACAAAATGAAGTTAAGTGAATGGTAATTAGCAGTCTGTGAGGACAGCTAAGAATTACTTTTATTGTATCTGCAAATGGCTAGTTACTAACTCAGTGTTAAGCTGAGAAGTTTGAGGCCAACAACTGGCAGAGGAACCTGATGTAACTCCAAAGTTGGCCCTGCTCTGGACAAGATAGCTTCCAGAGGTCCCTTCCAACAAAATTCTTCTATGAGCCATGATTCTGCACCATATCCAAGCAAAGGCAGCATAAAAATCGCAACTGCAAGAACTCCTGTCTGGCACACTGGCGAGAACGTGCTCCACTGCGTACACATGAATGAATCATCACTAGAAGTCATTTACCCAGTTTCAGCAATGATTTCTGGAGCTACATATGTTGGGGTCCCACAAACAGTATATAGGGGTCCATCCACAATTGTTGCTAGGCCAAAGTCTCCTAGCTTCAGGGACTTGCTTCCATCTTGGTGTTCATACACCTAAACCAGGAGGAAAATTCGAAGGTTTAACACAATACCATCAAGGTAACTACTATGTCATTTACTAACTGCCTGAAATGTTCCTTCTAATTTACACTCTTTATTTTCTCCTTCTTACCTACTTCTACCTACTTAGGTCTCTGCATGCTTTGAAGATTCACAGACAATTTGGACAACTTCCCTCGAACGCACTCAGGGTGTTTGGGAAAGACTTACCTCGCTACCTGGCCAACAAAGGAGATACTACTTGCTAGAAGCTAAAGCCCAGAAGCAAAGGTTTGACCTCCCAGCAGGGACATTCGTAGGTTCTCCCCACTGACAGCCAATTCACAGTGTAGGGATTCTGAGTTCATTCATTTCCCTTGCACAGAGCTTAAAGGCTTGCACAGGAATTTCAGCCTCTTAGATAACACAACAGCGACTGCACTGATCGCAGCAACAGATTCTTCTCTGTGTACTGAAGTCACAAGATGCAAACCTGGCTGGACTATTTCACCTAAAAACACTGTCCTCTCCTTGGATGACTGTTAAACACCAATCAGTGTCTTAGTGGTATGTTACCACCATCATCGACAGACGTAGGTAGGGCTGTTAATAAGTATACATGAAAATCCTGTCTTAAAACATGGTCTTCACAGCAGCAGCATGATCTTCATGGGTTTTTATAGGTGCACAGGGAGATTAAGACATAGTCACAAGAAAACAGCTAGAAACATCAGTAAAAAAATACACAATTTTAGAAGCTGGCTCAATGCAAAAGAACAACCCCAAACCTGCAAACACTGAAAACTTACCAAAAAATGTGTAAAATAAAAGGGACTAAAATGTATCTAAATGAAACGCTAGACTGTGAGTCTTTCTTTAATCCAGCTGCTGGTTTGGGTTCCTGCTTCCCATTTTGAAATTGTTTATGACGCTATTTAATGTTGTTTACCACAACAGCACCTTAAAAAATGGAAACAGCCTACAGGAGGCCTTCTTGAAGTATATGTGCATCACTTTATTATTTTGCAACCCAAATCAAAGCTCCATGCAGGCTGGCTCACCACTAGTGATATCCCGACAACAATTAGCACTAACACTGTGCAAAAATCAAATCCAAAATCATCCTTCATAGCCATCTTGACCAGCTACTCCTGCATAAGAAATCGCATTTGTCTACAACTGTTTGCAAAGGAAAATCCTACATTTTTTTCTTACAAAAATACAATAAATTCTACAACGGACGCTTGAACAGTTCACTTGGTGCAAAAATGAAATCTTGAAGTCTCTCACCGCTGTTTGCTAGAGATCTGCTATAGCTCATAATAATTAGTTATATTATACAGGTCCCCATTTTCTCCTTTGTTAAGTCACATCTAGAGAGAAAACCCCTCTCTGTCCTGAATCCCCGCTACCAGGTGATACAGCCACAAGCAGACATTCAGAATACACAAAGTTCTTCTCCTTTCCTTATGCTATTTTTAAAAATACAACTGGATCTTTAAGAGGACAAGCAATTTGATATGGATTCACATTTCTCTGCTACTAAGCCAGAAAAAAAAGACAGGCTTATAGAAAACCACTGGAAAAAAAGCAATTATGGTTTTATTAAAAACACAGATTGTTAAATACATCTGGTTCCTGAAACTAAAGAAAGTGCTCTCTGAAATGGCTGTAATAAATCTAATTTCAACAACAGTTTTAATTAAAGGCTAGAGACTAGAGCTTTAAATATTCATTTGCTGAAAAATGTAAAGTGTGCACTTAGACATCAAGAGCTGAATCCAGTCTAATTAGCAGCTCATATTCTATTTCATGCGGTTATCTTTTACAAGGCCCTCTCTGAGTTGTGTTAACCTAGTGAACATTCACAAGTTCCTTCCTTCAACACACTGCACCTTGTGTGACTCATATATCCTAGAAATTAATCATGGAAGAGGCTTGTTTGGCAATATTTACCAATGCAGAAGGTTTGGTACTGTGCATTTTCTAGTATTTTGCCCCATCTGTTTCCAGGAATTACTTTCCTTGGAAAACTACTTCAGTTGACTTGTAAAACTGAAGAAAGTAACTTTTCCTCACCCTGTTATAACTCCATATAAAAAGGAGCCCAATGTGAAGCTGTGGTATGCTACTTGCCAGTCAAGGAATGTGAAAGATAATTTAACGCTCATGTTATTCAGAACACTATATGAGTTCCACTGCATTTAAATACTGGAGGGCAATTAAAGAAATGGGGATTAGTGCAAATTACCCACTATGTAGTGCTTTCACTGTTTTAACTAAGCAATAAAACTGTGTAATTGTACAACACTAATTGAATGCAGCCACACATAATTGTGTGCCACCATATGTATCCTATTACTATAAAGACTGTCAGTATTTTCTAAGCTGCTCTTGTGATCAGTGCAGATGGCAACAGTCAGAGAATTTGTTCTCTAGGGTTTATTATATGGCTATAAAGACATCCCATGACTTGACAAAATAAACGTGCTAAATAGCAGCAATTATGAAAAATGTTCCAATTAAAACATGGAAGACACTCTCTAGAGAACAAAACAAATGCTAAAAAATCACAGGTATCGAGTATACCCTAAACCCTTGGACAGTTGACTGTTAGGTGGGCTCTGCATGCCCTGAGGATAATACGCGATATTTGAGCACTTATAGAAATAACTGGTGTTGCACATAGGACACTGAGCCAGGTTCACACACACAAAGTTTATCAGCAGGGTCTGCAGCGGATGGCACACACCCACTCTAAGCATGAAAGCTACATTTTGGGGAAAAGGAAAAAAACAAAGGAGGCGAATGGGAAAGCTCTCCCAGGCGCCGGGAAGAGATGAGGTAAGGATGCTCCAGATGAGCATCCTCCTCTGGCTGCCCTCTCCAGAGCAGCGTGTTCCCTTTCACCCCCCGTATTTTTCCCGTAGTAACTCTATAGCTTTTGTCAGGCCTTGCTCATCCTCCCTGTCATTTTTTCCTGCTAATGGGGCTGTTAGCCTTAGGGCATGTATTGGTCAGGGCAGATGCTGCTCCCCCCCATACCGCCCCGGTTAGCTGCTCTGCTTTGGGCAGGTCTGGTATAGGCTCCCCTAAAACTAAAGCTACAACCCACAGGTAGGAAAAGCAGCGGGGGGAAAGGGCCGATTCCCACACCGGTGGCCAGGAGAACCTGCCATAACAACACTACTGGGGTTTGCAGGTGCGAGACGGTGACAGTAAGGGTGTGAAAGCAACACTACAAGAACAACAAGGGAAAAATACTGCCGTGACCACTTAGGGGAAGGGTTACTGAGCTACAAGCAAAAGGCGGGCTGCAGAAGGCAAGCTGAAGGTCTTTAGCAACAGAAAGGCTGACCCGGGTGGCACTTTGCAAGTGTTTTATAAATGCCACAAAAATAACCCTAACTGCCATCTTGTGACACAAGGAACTACCCATCGCATTTGACAGATACGAAGATAAAAGTAGAAGGGTCAAGAGACGCTGAGGCCACAGACAGCCAATGCCAGAGGCAGGGTCAGCACTCAGGTAAGGCTGCTTCCAAAGCACTCTTCTAAAACAGCATTCGTTTTTTTCCAAGGACCTGATAAAGCTTAGAGAATTAATATAATTTGTGAATCAAATGCTGGCTTTTGAGGGTTAGGATGCTGCAGGAGGTTAACTGCTGCATCCTCACTGCTCAGTATCAATATCAATGTAGGACCTTTACATACGCAGAACACCGGAAAAATCCCTCAGAAACAATTTCAGCTACAGTGCAAACAGTGTGACCCTTCCTAGTAGCGGATAATTACCAGAGATGGCTGGGCAGGCAAATCTAAACCTCTCCCTGTTGCCCCCACCTCCTGCCTACCTTCCTCTCCCCCCCAAAAAACTTCACTCTGCTGTTGTCAGACTTCAGGCGTTTAGAGACGCGGTAAGACAGCGCAGGGCAAGCCTTGCCCCAGCCCAGACCCTCCTGCACGCTCCAAGTCACCGCATGAATGAATCCTGGCTCGTGGCTGCTCTAACTTCTGCACGGGCTGCGAAAGGAGCCGCAATCATCGGTGTCCAGGGAAACTTCCACCCAGTGTGGTTTTAGCCGCTTCTGGAAAACAAGGGCAGGCTAATTCCTCACCCAGAGCTCTAAAGGCACCCGCCACTAGAGGAACCTCAGCTGTAAAAATCCCACGCCTTGGAAATTTAGTGAGGTCTGCTTGAGTCAACTTTCCCATAAAGCCTCTTCGGTGTCAAGCAGGACTAAATGCACTAAGAAAGAAACCTATGTCAGCTGGAGAACACAATTGCTGCGCTCGAGAGTGCACGATTCTCAGCAACAGCCACGGTATGTTTTCCACTGTCTTCAGCGGATAGGGCTCATACAGATCCAGTCAGGAAAAGGAAGATTTAGGCTGTCTATTTGAGAAGTGGCCTAATAAAAAGGATTATTTGGGATATGCAGCAGGGAAAGGAAGGACACTGAAGTCTCTTACTGGCTGTGCTCTGACATACTACACGACTAGGGCACAACATTTACACCCACCACGTTTGTAAAACTGAACTGCTGCTAATTACTCTGGCAGCTGCAGAAGTACAGAATAGTCTACTGACGCCAGAACACCTTTGTATTTGAGAAGCCTGAAATTATACTGCAGCTTACTAAAAGGTCACTTCTAGTGATCACTGGAACAACTCTGCTGCTGCGTCCTGGGGAGCAGTCTAGACATCCCAGCTTACATTACTGTACTTCTTATGATAGCCGTTATCCTTAGGAGAGCTTTACAGTGCTAAGGTTAAAATTAAAAGACCAATGACTTAAATGACTGAAATAAACTTGGCGGGTGTGTGGAAGGAGGGAGAAGCGCAGATCTTCTCTCACATGCTTCCAAGTTATCAACAATACCGAAAGCTGAATCTTTACTTACCAGTAGATTCTCTGGCTTGATATCCCTGTGGACAATGTTCAGGCTGTGAAGATATTTGATGGCACTGGCCAGATTGTAAAGCATCCCACTGGCATCCCGCTCTGTATATTTGTTGGTGGAAGTAATAGCATCAAAAAGATCTCCTCCCTGGAGCAAAATGACCATGGCATATGAGCAATACTGCTTATGAAATGACTGAAAAATTTAGGGCAGATCAAGGAGCATCATTTATAGAGGAGGAGGAGGAGGAGGGAGGAGCAGTACAGTTTCCTTGCTGCTATAAACTAGGGGTACTGCGATGACATCCCCCATCATGGCAGCTGAACATAGCAGTAATTCAGAACCATTTGTCATGGCTTAGCCGGTCAGCCAAGAGGCCGGAGTCTCTCCTGCAAACCATTCCCACCTGCTGCTGCTTTTGTAACACGTCCAGCACTCGCCAACCTGTGTGCTCAGAGCCCCTCTTGCACATTTCTGGCATGCCTGCATACTTGCCTGTCACGATGCCGCATACCAACTCTTGCCACTCTTTATTATAATCACAAACAGGCTGACATCAAATTTTTGCCCAAAGCCTGACTGAGCTCCAGAAAGATGAGGGAACTCTGAGTAAAACTCAAACCAGCGACCTGTCATCACTGCTGGCATATTTTAAAAGTCTGTTTCCATCTCATAAAACTTTGAAAATGTGGATTTTAGAAAGCTCTTTCTCTACACAAGAGGTGAACTTTTTGGTAGTGTGATGCTTCCTGCAGCTAATACTGAAGCACTTTCTAGCATATACGTCAGACAATCATACTGGAAGACATTTAAGAATTAACATCAGCGTTTCACCACAGCTACAAATAAGACGGCAGCTTGTGCCGTTTCCAGCTCATCGTGCTATCTAATTCAGCTAAAAGCTATGTCCATTCAAAGAAAAACAAGAAAACAAGAGAGAAAGAAAGAAATAAAGAAAGAAAAGACGGAAAATTAAGTGGACGTCCTCAAAGTTGAAATGATCTTCACTAGGAACTGAGGCAGCCATGACATTTGGACTGTATTTCCAGAGCTGAGCTGGCAAGCGGGAAGAAGAACATGTAAGTGCTTGGCAAAAGACCAAAAAATAAGTTTAAAGAAGAGATTAAGGAGGAAGCTTGACAGAGTGGAGGAAAAAACAAACATCTTTTGAGAGACGCTACTCAGAGGTATTGGGCCTTTGGCCAAAATCAAAGCAGCACCATAAAGAAAACACAGACCAACAAAAAAAAAAAAAAAAGAGGGAAAGGATAATTCTGCAAAAACAATGCAAAAAATCCCTGCTGCAGTCAAAACATCAAGGAAAAAAAAATCACAGGAGACTGTATTTTAAAGAAAAAGCAGGTATTTTCTGAAGGCAACTGAGGAGTCCCAGCTTTGCCAACTCTCATGATTTTATCTATAGCCTCAAGTTATCTGCTGGGGTTTTTTAAGGCTCAGCTCCAGAGTAAACACTGCTTTCACTAAGACAAAGGAGGAGGGCAAAGAAACAAAAAAAGAATTTTTCCAGGAATCACGGCTACAGAGAAAAAGGTAGGAAAAGACAACCACCGAAGACTCAAACCTAAGAAAACAGACATTACTTGTTAAAAAAACCCAAACAAATTATTACAAATTTCGCATTGTTGAGGTGCAGCTGAAGACTGCCAGGGCAGGTTTACTCCCACTACAGATGCGAAACCCCAGCTTTGGAAACTGCTTGCAGCCAACCATCGTCAAATCTGGACCACATCAAAACCTCTCGCTCTGGCTGGTGACTGATCAAGATACCCCAAGATACATAGTGTCAAGGAAAAGGAGGAATAAAAGGCCAAGCTAAACCAGATAGAGGATTAGCGAGAAAGGCCAAATATTTGGCAAAAGTACAATACCATGTCCTTCACGGCATTATCTGATCCCTAAGTATTAGATATCAGCATGTGGCAAAATATGTGGGATAAATAATCTATCTTCCCTAAGCTCCATCCTGTGAAGCCCCTGTACCAGCTGCTTTTTAACATAAGGTAGTGGATTAGACACATCTTTGGTCTTATCCAATATGTTCCAGATGCTCAGGAGAGGTGTCAATAACATCAGCAAAGGATCTGCCTCCAAACAAAGAAAACAGTCTGAGCTGAGATATGAGGGGCAAGAAGCAAAGAAGCTGAACCTGAAAAAGAGAAAGGAAAATTTTGGCCTAAAGTCAGAAGAAAAAGAGCAAATGTTCATGTGCAAGAGAAACCTAAACTTAGGAAAAGATAGAGGCTGCAGAGCACATTAACAGACAGTCAAGCCAATCTAAAGCAGAATAATTTTCTCTATTTAAGCAGTCTACTTTACTCGGCAAAGTTTCTTACCAGGTACCCTGCTAAGAAAAGAGAGCATTCGTTTAGTCTGTGGGAATCTTTGCAGTTAAAAGAGAGGTGATATCCTGGAAAGAGTTAACGGAGCTGACAGCTATATCAGAAAGAATTGTTTTCAGATTTCCCTTTCCCTGAAGAGCACTTTAACCTGCAAGGTTCTGCTTAGCCGATTCACACAGCAGGTCACTATCATTTATTCAGGCACAAGGGGTGAGTTCAGGATGACATTTCAGTCTTAAATCCCCCATTCTGGAGTGAAATGGGACCAGCAACATCTGAACGCAGTTTTTATTATCTGCGCACATGAGGAAGTATACTTGGAAGTACAGTAACCAATTATTTATTTATTACCTTGTTATGTAAATGATATAATCTCTCTTTTCTTCTGCAAAAGTGAAATCATATCCTGGAGCAGTAAAGGAAACTCTGCAATAAATCTTGCTTGTTAAATTGGCCAAACCCCTGTTAGGTTTGAATAACAATTTTGTTTCGCTGTGTAAAAAGGCAATGTGCCAGAAACCAGGTCCTTGCTTCCTTTTACAAGCACCACTTGCAATGTGTTTATATTTGTATTTATGAAGTGCTTTTTCTTACACTTTACAAAGCAATGAATGGCCTATCTGCCGTGAGGTGAGGGCAGTATTTGCAGCAGCCACTTATGTCAAACACGTTACTGCCAATTAATGCAGGGTGGTATTAACTGAAACCGTGCTCTGCAGTATCAAGCCTTTTCTCCTTGAATTTCTTTCCTGTCTGTGAGTTTGATTTAAAGTCAGGTCTTCAAAAGTCAGTCAATAACAGATGGTTAATAAATTCTAACAGTGCATGCTATGAAATGGTAACAGTCAGCAATTGGCGAATTAACAATTAATGTCTTTCCAGAAATACCTTCCCTGGTGCCCACAGAGTATAACAAGGCTTTTTTTCCCAGTTAAATATTAAGGAATAGATGTTTGCTTCAAAGAAACAAAGTGGACTTCCCAGGATCAGGATATTTCTTCTAAATTTCTTCTATTGTTCCACATAAAAGTAAAGAACATTAAACCAGTGCTCTCTAGGATATCTGAACTACAGAGGTGTCTATAAAGCCCTTCTATATCATAACTAAAAGCATAAATATCTTAGTATGTGCAGCAACCCTGAAGAGTAAAGAAGAAAGAGCGCAAGGGAACAGTTTTTTCCAGAAAATGATTATAACGGATGGTTTTCTTTATATACATCTTTTAGGCTAGTTATTTTGTAAGAGTTGTTGCTCCCCTCCTCTCATATTTAGCTGAGTAGGACTTTGATTAAAAATCCACCCGAGACTACAGTTTGAGCATTTTTCAAGCATGAATAGCACAGCATGTTGCACCCATAAAGCCAGCTATGTGCTTATGTCTTGGCATGTTAGACAAGGCACAGCTTTTACTTCTTAGCATATCTCATGGGGCCAAGATGACGGATTTGTCAATGCGGGCTGAAGCTGCGGCTGCGTTCGATTGCAGCGCCGCGCAAGAGTACCGCGGTACCGTTTAACAAGCTCTCGTGGACACTGGTAGAAACCTGCAGTAGCACGGATCTCAGAGCGAGCTCGCTTATCGCAGAAAAGAGCAGTAATTATAATAGTGTTAGATGGCTAATGGCGTCTGACCTGAAGCTGTGTTACTTCACGTTGCGCTCCTGAGTGCAAGAGAGGGCTGTGACTGCGGTGGGGAAATTCTTCTGGGACCGGTTACACAGAGGGATTCGTGGTGTGGAAGAGTGCCAGTATTCTGCTTTTTTCTTGGGATTTAAGCTCTCCATCAGAGACAATAATGGGAATGCTGGTTACCCTGTCAGGTCCTTGCCACCAGCACATCCCAGCGTGCTCCTCCAGAGCCTGGAGGTGGTGGGCGGTAGGGTTGGTGGGACCACAAGCTCCACGGGACCACGCAAGCCGAGTTGGGCACGGGGCAGGCCCAAACCAAAGAGGACAGCGGTGCCACCTCCCACGCTGTGGGGCACGGCCTCCGCTCCTCACGGATAACAAGGCCGTCCCAGCCTGCCGCAAGAACAGGGAAGATCTGGCCGTCCACCCATGGGCCACACTTGACGGCCTCCCAGCAACGCGCTGGGAACACAGCTTGTATGACCGCTGCTGCCACAGAGCACAGGGGTAACGGAACTAACCAAAAAACTGTTCGTTCTCTTTGCTCTCCCATTCCAGCCCAGAGATCGAGAAGTTCTTTAAGACACGCTTGGACCTGGGATCATCCGACCTAACATCTCAATGCGGCGCCCACATTAAGAGCATCCCCCAATCTCCACCTATAACCAGAGCAGAGCAGATAACAACCCTGCTCCCCAAAATCGCCTTCTCTCCCGACCGCTGGTGGTGCCTGTTTCTAACCACTGACACAGAGGATGTCTCCCGACAGTGACCACGCTTTTAATTTAAGATACGTGGGAGTGATCCGGGTGCCAGGGTTCGGAGTGCCTGACTTGCTCACAAGTGTTGAGCGTGCAGATACCACAGGCCTGCGCACAAATGCTGCTGCTGCACAGCTTCATGGTCATCTTTGTCCTGAAACACTCAAACCTGTGGATTTCCCAGGTGTAGGCATGATAGGCTGCCCCAGCAGAACGTGCTGATCGAGGTACAGAAATGGAGGTGGCTGCTGGAAAGATCTCCTTCCCACAGAACACCTGTGGAAGGAGGGAGGATCGCTAAGCCCATTAGTGAATGTGAAAAACAGGTGTATTCTGTTAAATTAAGTATGGAGAACAAGATGTCCTCAGCGGTTTTCTGTCTTAATTCCTACAATTTACTCAAATGTATTTTTACCACCTTTTATACACAGTGGCATACTTGCGTATTAGTACCAGAACCGAGAGCTAAATTTGTACTTCTTGCACGGCAGTGTTGACAGTATGGGGGCAAGACATGACCTGGTCTGACTTTCATAATCCAATTTGAACATGTAATTCCACCAGTGACTGACATAAATGCATGAGATCTGGAAGTTACTATGATGGAATAAATAGGGGACCAAATATAAAATACTGCATTTGCAAACTTACTTTTCAGAATAGAACCATGCTTTAAATAGCAAGTTTCTCTCTTTCACTTCTCCTGTCCTCCAGCTTAAATTTAGATTATTATCAAGGAGGCAAGCCTGACAATGTGTTAATATAAATCAGTAGAGAAAAAAGACAGGTAATATTGCTTAAATTTAACATAAATTAATAAAATTTAATTAAACTCTATTTTATCAAAGAGTACTGAATTACGAAGGCTGACATTTATGGCTCTTCACACTGGGTGTATTTTCAATTCACCTCAAGGCAGATGCATTTCTTTAAGATAAAACTTTTTAAAGATAATTCTTTTCGGGAAGCAAATAAAACGTGATCTCCAAAGTACTGTCCACAGAGCACTTCTGAGTGTGGCTTACAGAAAGTTAGACAAATATTTGACATGTTTGAAAGCTATAAAAAAAAAATCTGACTGTGAGTGACACATCTTTCAGTAGGGTGTTGGACAAGACTACCTTCAGAGACACCTTCCATTCGAAATTATTCTGTGATTCCATGATTTTTCGTAAGCATTAGTACCAATGAAATTTCTCAATATGGTTGAAACAATTCTTAATAAGCAGCTTGTTTCCAAAATAGTCACCTTTACAAGTTCCATGACAAGGTACAACTCAGTTGGCATGTCCATCTCCTCAATCAGAAGTACAATATTGGGATGCTTCACTCGTCTTAAAATAGATACCTCGTTCTGGATCATGTGTTCCTGCCACACAAAAAAAATCTTTAATGACTATGGGTTGGTGGGAAAAAATTTCACAGTGGAAAAAGCAGAGAGAATTGGGACCTGTGTGGATTTTTCAGGGCTTTTTAAAAAGGTAACAGATGTTGCCTCCAGCAATATGGAAGGAACATACCTAGAAACAACATCAGTGTGATAACTGAAAGAAGAACAGAGAGTAGAACAGAAAAAGAAAGGGAGGAAAAGACATGTTTCTGATGCAGAGAAAAATTAAATACGGAAGCTTCTAAAATTTTTTCTCTGATGCAGAATCTTTTGATTTAAAAATATGATAGCATCTTCTCAGAGAACCTTTTGTTATAGATTTCAAAAGCTAACAGTCACTTGGTATAAAACTGACATAAATTTGATAAACCTTGCATACTGTTTAGACATAGTGACCGGTGTTGTTATAATTATTAGTATTATTTTTCTGTTTTCTATAACATCTGGAATTATGAAAGTTAGAAAACACAATTATGGTTATAAAGAGCAAGGGGAGTGCCCACACACAATCAACCAACTTGAGAATCAACACACACATCTAGAAAGGCAAACTGCAGCCTCTTATACTGATATTCCAAGGGTCTCCAGAGGGCAGGCAAAGGCTTCAACCAAAAAAATTCTAACACTTGCCAAGAAGAATACAAATACTGACAGCTTCCCAAACTGATCTCTCACAAAATGTTTCTTGGGGGGAAAAAAAAAAAAAAAGAAAAAGATTTTTTTGTACTTACTTTTCCTCTACATTTACTTTTTTTGATTATTTTCAGAGCATATTCTCTACCAGTTGATCTGAGGAAAGAGAAATGAAAAAATTGTATGTTCAATCACATTGAATATTTTTCTCAGTCGAGTTTATATTTGTCATTTGAGCGCAGTAGGTCTGGGCAAGAATTCTATTCAAGTATTTGTTTTGTCAAGAAATGAAGCTTGGATTTGACTGAAATTGTGAAGTCGAGCCAAATTTATTAAATACGTGTGCCTGAGAAAAAAAGCATTAAGCATTTTTTTTGAAAAATGAAGACAGTTCAATATTTTCAAAACAAAATCACTTGATTTTTTCATTTTGTAGTGGTAATTGTTATTTCTTCTGCAGTTTTATGTAAAAATATTATATAGTATTTACAGATCCAAATCTTTTCAAAACCAAGTTTTGTTTTCTATTATACAAAAAAAACCCTATGGAAAATACTTTTATTTTTTACTTAAAATGAAAAGACATTTGTTTGCACATCTACACTTATAACTGCTATGATAAAAAAGTCAGTCCTTGGAATAATGTTTTATGTATTCAGTAAGTATACAATATTTAGCAGAGTTAAATATGATGTTTACAGGACAAAATATGAAAGGTTCTGGAGACAGTAAGAAATTATAGAGAATTAGTTCAGGATGAGAACACATTTCCTTTTACGTGTTGTTGTTTTGAAACCATATAATATTTATTGCTACCACATATATACAGATATTTATTATATAGAATGCTAACAGAGACAAATAAGCTTGTAAACAAGTTAACAGTACCAACTTCCACTTCTTAATCAAGCTACAAAACCAAAAGATGGCTGGAGGGATGAAACCAAGAAGCTCCGTTCACAAGCTCTAGTTTCACTATAAGGTTAAATAGAGAACGGGTAATATAAGAAAAAGCTCTCACCGAAACGCTTTCATTTTGTAATAAAAATCTAAACAGCTTTACAAAAGTCTATTACATTGCCCTTAGGCATAAGTTTGGTTAAAAAATAATAAAAAAAAAACCCCTCTCAAGCATATGGGGTGATTTTTTTTCACTCTTCATTTAGCAAAACAGTTAAACTGATACATTAAACTCATACACAATAAGTTAAACAGAGAAATGAACGTGCCTAAAAGTGTGCAGTCTATCAAATAGGATATGCAAAGTGAGTCATAAACTGAAAGCACTGCATTAGGAAAACGACTGGGCATTTTCATTGCCATATTTAAGCATGGAGAATTCCTCTGGAAATGATGTACCACTAGGTATTAATTTAAGGGAAAATGGGGACTTCAGTAAAAAGAAAGAAAAAAACCAAAATATTAATTCTGTTTGAGCTCCCAGGTCAGCAGGGAGCAAAGACAGTCTGTATTAAGACATCAGTTAAAAGGCTGTGCAAAGAAATCACACTGGATGATGATGCTTATGACTTGGAAAAAAAGTACAGCATGGCTGTTCAAGACTTAAGCAAAGAAAAATTAAGATCGTCTCGTATCTGTACTCCCCCCCCAAAGGGGTTTAATGCTCCAGGCACCAGAAGTGGGCCGCACTCCACCTGGGGTGCCCCGTCCTGGTGCTGCTGTTTGGTGGCTACAGTCCCAGCTCAGAGAGGGGACAGGCAGAGATACGGGTGCTATTTTGGGGGAATGGAAGGAGGAGGTAGGAGAAGGAATATTAGAAATTAAGATATCTGGGGTTCAAACTCAGACACAATACAGCCTCTTTCAATAGGAGTCTCTTTCAAGCTGCTTGGTTGCCCTAGGAATGCTTCCTTTCTGTCATGAGAAAGGAAATTGATGGTTTTTGTTGGCCATGGGAGACTCCATGTACTCCAAAACACTGGGAAATCTGAGCTAGTGAGGAAATGTCAGAATTTGGAAGTATCTGAAAGTTAAAAATGAACACATATAAAAACACCACAGGACAAATTGCACATATGATGGAGCAGATATGTAACGAGCAGATGACAACTCTGACTGCTCTTTGTTTTGGTAAAAAGAAAATTAAAGCTAAGATAATGCAAATCCTTTCCCCTGAAAAGCTGCAGAACCGCAGGCTGTCAGCAGCGCGACAACTTACACACCCGCCAAAAAATACGCACGGCCATGCCAGAAACTCGCAGTGAAATGGGCATACTGCCTCTCACCTATCACTCAACCCAAACAGTAAAAAGGTGCCACACAAAGTAGGAAACACGTTACAGCTGGATAAAAGCCCGGACCCACAGCAGTACCGCAGGGCACAGAGTTAGACCCCTCGTTCATAACAGGGCTCCATGCTACGCTCCCTGGCCGTTCTAACCTATTGCAAATTTCGCAGAGATTTCCATTGCACTGGAGACAAAAAACTACCGTCATCATTTCTGTGTGTGCATTAAATGTATTTGTGCGTGCATGCGTGCGCGCCCGTGCGTTCACAGATGCACAGAAGGGGCTTTAGAAGTCCTCACGTGAAAATTTTGAGGATGGTTTTTCGTTTCTATTTGCACCATTCCTTGTCAGAGGAAAACGCCTGTGAACGCATTTGAAGCGCTGGGGTGGCTAACCAGTGCGCACAGGCTGGTCTCCACAGCTATGGAGAAGAAGTGATCGGTGAAGATGTGTAACAAGACCCGTTCCTACTTGCTTAACACCTCGTGGCGCTACTCCTTTGAAGTCTAATGCACACAGGAATTGTACATCAGAGGAAAGTGGAAAAGTCCTCTATCCCAAGTATCACCCCATCAATTCTGGCTCTGCAAAAATGATGGACATATCAGACTTTGAAGTGAGGTGTTTTTTGCTTAGAAAGACTGTGAAGAATGTTTTTGAAGGGGTTTTACATGCACTGGCTTTAATTTACCCTCTGAGTCTTTAGTCTCTCCTTCCACACTTGTGATGGCAAGGGTATACTGCTTTAGAAGTGGAAATGAACAGAAATAATTCTACTTTAATTTTCAAGCTCTCCCAAAGTAGTAACTCTCTGATATAAATGGGATCTATGGAATGGTATAGCTCAGAAAGCATAAGAGTGTGTATCTGGGAATACCTGAGTAATCATGCTATTTGAGCACATATTCACTAGATACGTCGTGTTATTGGATACTTCTGGGACCAGTGGGATAGACTAGAGGACAGGAAACAGTTTTCATTTAAGCTCTCGAGGATATTGTAATCAGTGTTATTTTTAGGTGTGGTGGGACCTATATTTAATTCTGTTCATGTCTTTTCTCTCAGCTTGAGAAAGAGTTGTAAAATGCACACTAGCACATTTGAACTGTCTCTCAGCACAACTGGCATTTTCAGCTGAATGCCAGTGTATCAAAACCTCAACCTTTTTTACTTTGCCTTGTAATCTGTTTCTCTCAGTCACTACTCACTTCACTTTTAGCTTGCCGCCTTCTCTTTTCCTAGTTGTATGTTTTCACCCACGTTTTTCATCAGTCATGCCCCCTCCATAGGGTTTTACAGTGCCTTCTTGTTTTCATATTGTTTTGCTTTGCTTCCTTTAGGTTTCCGTATTCCCCAGTTTAGCGTTCAGACCCTGGGGTTTGATCTGAACAGCTACTGCCCTCCGGATGACCAGCTCCACCATGAACTCACTCTGACAGAGTTCTCAAGGCCTCACAAGAGCTTTGGCCAAGTCTCACAAGCACACTGTCAGCTGATACAAAATCCACTCTTCCCCCTTTTCCCAACAGCTGTCTTCATGGTCTCCGACTTGCCAGACTCTTTCGGATGCAGAGCGGGACCTGTCTTTTTCCAGAGAGACTCTAGTTTAAAACCAGCCAAGCTAATTTATCATCATCTGCCATGAGATCTAATCTTGACTTACTCTCTAGGGTTAATATCGCATTCTTACAGGGTAAAGAGCAAAGGTTCTTTCTTTGAGCCTAAAGGTGAGGTTACAGTCTTCTGCAAGAGTCTCCTCTCCAGAATATGTTAATAGGGGATACAAAACTTGTGGAATTTCATTATCAGACCTTGACATCTCTATTGTTCTTTCTTTTGGACATCTCTAGCTCTGGCACTTTTTTGCCTTCTCTGCACTGCTACTATCTAACACGAGCAATCTTACAACCATTTCACATACAGGTACCTTCTGTCTTTTTACCCCATATTCTCCTATTTTTAACAATAACACCAAAAAGCACCTGCAGTTCAGCTCAGAGCACTTCTGTCTTTGTTCTGTCTATTTTTTACACTCTTAATGTTGGGTAGAGCCAGTTCAAACCTGGTTCATGACCTGCCTTACCAGATTTAGAAACTGACACCTGAGCTAGTCAACCTGGACACTTTCAGCAACACCGACATTTGAGGTGACTTGTGACTTCTCTGATCTGGAGTGGATGTCTAAAATCAGTCTTTAAGGGTGACTGTTCTCACATCTTAACAGTAAAGGGCACTGGAGAAGTTAGATTTTGATGTCTGCAGTGCAGGCTCCTAAACTTGGATGAAGCTCATATAATGGCATAAAGCAGGCAAGCAGAAGATAGATGCCCATTTAATTAAAGATAAGCACGGAAGAGGTTACTCCTCACTGTCAGATGGCAGAATAGATGGATCCAAAGTCAGCTCTGTGCTTACCGCCACCACTACAGCAGACACAGAAAACTTCCTGACATCTTTACAGAATGCTCCTACATGTGAAATGTTTCATTGGTCTAACATAAAGGGACAGTTGCAAGAACGTACCGCAAGGAAAGATGTTATTTCAGTGCAACAAGAAAGATTTAACACAAAGAACTGGTAAAGTCATGCAGAGTACAGCAGAAAAAAAACATATAAAACCCACAAAGAATCAAATTCACAGACTGTCCCTTGGACTCACTCTCTTTGTCCTATGAGAGGGCATTAGTCTAGTGTTTCCATCTGGCATTGAGACATTACCTTATTACATGTCCTATATTCTACAAATAAAGATATGATCTAGGAAAGCATGACATTAATGATTATTTTTACAGTAATAAGCATATTATCCTCCTCACCTTTCTATACACTCCTTCACAATAGCAAAATTTCCATCTCCTATAGTCCTTCCGACTTTATATCGCTCTGCTATCGATGCTGGAACCTGGAAACCTTCCTCCAACACTTCTGAAAGAATCATTAGTACATTTTTATTGTTAGTGAAGGAAACACAGATGTTGCACATAACATGCATTTTAAGTCTATGGTTTAGGAGCCTGGAAACCATTCCGAGTCAGTATCTCACTTACTGTACAGTCAAACCATGCTGCTGACATTGTATATACTCAACAGGTTTCACACAGATACAATAATGAAAAATAAGACTTCTGGGGGCTCAAACATACCACCATTCGAGTGTTACATGGTTTACCATTCCCATTGCAATATGCCCCCAGGACAAAACCAAAATTGTATTTTTTTAATTATGAAAAGGCCTCTGTGATCTGCACAAGCGCAGACCAGCCTCCAAAAAGGGTTGGAACTCCTTGACACAGCATGATTAAATATATGTACCAAAGAAGTCCAACACTCAAGCACTTATTTTATTACATCCTGTAAACTGAGACATCCATAAAACTCCTCATGTGCTAAGTGCTAGTTCTCCCCCTCCCCCAATATTAAATATTTAGTTTTTAAACAAATGTTCTCAATAATACTACTTCGCATGCAACCTGGGCACCAGATGTTTAGGTAAAATTGCATTACACAGTGTCTAAGCATAAGAAAAGTTTGTAGTTTCATGTGTTTTAGTGCTCATTCATGTACCATTATTTTTAAATGTATTTGAAATAGCGTGCTACAAATACCTAACATGCCTCTAAAAGCTGACTGTAAACTGCAGCTGATACAAACTAGTATATAAAAAAATGACTCTCAGAAATGTGACTTGAATTTATACTCTTTAAGACAGCGGGTTTAACTGTATTTTTATCTGTCCTTTGTTCCAGTGTAGTATTAAAAGCGAATGTTACGGCACAAGGAGGCTGGGGTTTGCCTGCAGTCACAGGCAGCATGAGGAGTTAGTGTCAGACGGGACCATACACGCACACTTACGTGTACCCGTGTGTGGACTGGCAGTATTTGAGCGGACACTATCCCTCAGCCTTCGTATGGGGTGAGACTAATCACTTTTGAGTAAAGACCCAGGACTGCAGCAGGTTCTTTAGTACCGTGACAGACGAGACAAAAAAATTACTGAAATAATCCAGCCAGCGCTGCGTCACCTGCAGAACTAGCACCTGGAGCATCCTGCAACAAAACCACCTCCGAACAGGGATGTCCAGATCGAATCTGATCCAGAGTGAACGCAACTGGTGTGCTAAGACTGACGAGCCTCCTCTGGGAGAGTCATCCAGCCCGCGACGCTCCCACCTTCCCCGGCAGGAAGAATGACTCATTTCCTACACAGCTGCTGTTATCGCCACATCGACTGCTTTGAAATGTCAGCCTTCAAACGTTACCTTCTGCAGGTCCATCATTTTCATCCATAGAGCTGCAGACTTTGGTGGATGCTAATGAGGTAGAGGAGCCACTGTGTTGGGAGCTCTGGAAATGGAGAGACACAAACGAAAACAGATGATTTTTAAGGAGCACGAGTACCTGCAGCATGTGCGTGCTGGACACATGTCCCGGGGAGGCTTCAGCGTTCCCTATGTAAAGCATCAATTTACTTTGGTGGAGGGATATGTGGATGCTTGGGAACGAGTCCAATTTTTCCACTGAATTCACACTTTCAGTACCCCCGTGTACACGGAGCTATCCCTGACCCATCACAGGCAGCAATGTGCAGCAACGCTTTTATGTATGGTCTACTAGTTTCTCGCTATTCCACACGCGTTTTGGCAGGGAAAACTGAGGAGCTGCATGCCCTCTGCAGGCAGGAGACTGCTTTTTCAGCCACTCCGTTAACCCAGCAGGCACTAGAAGCACCAACGTCTGTTTTGTCCGACGCTGGCTTTGTTACAGGCAGAATTCCTCAATTTTGCAAACCTCCTTCTGGTGAAATCCTCCCCAGCTGTGGTCTAGAAGGGAGAAATCACTATGGTACTATATGGAGAATATGAAATGTCAGGGTGAAAAATGTTTGCTTTCTTGGAAAAGCATTTGATGGGGTATAGCTCACTTGAGGCATGAGTCCGGACCTCAGTTTCAAGTACCTGTACAGCAAGTGTCTACATTTGCCCGTGCAGTTAATGGGAGAGGATGGTATCTCTATAGTCTCTAGAAGGAGGCTCGTAGCCACCCAGCTTGGATGCCAAAAGAGTAGCAGGCAGATCTCAGAAGGGAAGCCTTCCAAAGCACCCATCGGTGTCATGTATGGACTCCAGGCATGTACTTCAGGAAGACTGCTTCATCACGCATCTAGATGGACAAACCTACACAGACGTATGAGATGGCCTGGATTTCACCCAAAACACCTATGCTGCACTGCGTAACAACGGTACAAACATATCTTCAGGATTCTCCCGTCTTCAAAGGAAATCGGGAGAAGCTAACGGTGCAACAGCGGCCCTTTAAACTCACAGCGAAACTGAGCATTTCCTCAGGTCCTCGTGTTGCAACGTCAGTGAGAAGCGTTCAGACGATTTCCAGAATGAAAACCTTCTGGGGTTCACACAGTTCGCATGCTGAAAGGTTACGAAGCACTGCAGTATTTCCTCACCTCCTTCAATCTATATATCACATAAATTGCAGGCTGTACTGCATGCAACTAACACTATCCGTTCCTTATCTGCGTTTGCAAGGTATCTAGATGCCCGCAATAAGGGTGCCAATCCGCTTTACAAATTTAATACAGCTTCTTGAATGATCTCTCTCCTCTGCCACTGCAGAGCACAGCCAGCAACTGAATAACTAACAATGCAGCAGTTGGGATTTTTGCAGAGTACGGAGCCAGGGAGAAGGCAGTCAGCAGACTTAAAAGCTGGCCAGGATGCTGAGTTCATTTGAACAGAATAACTTTTAATTTCTCCCACAATAGATTAAGGTCAGATGATTTAGGCAAAGGCTGAACTTGGCCTATTTTTCACTAAATAATCCTGCGAGCTTGCACATCCCATCTACCAAGAGACTCTTTGCCTTTTTTTCCTTTTAATCAACCCCAGCTCCTTCTTTTCATCCATCCAAGCATTTCTTCTGAGCTTTGACTAGAATTAAAAATTGCATTAATCAGTTTTTGGAATACTTTTGCTGCCTTTTGACAACAGAAATGAGCACTGACTGATCTTATGCAGTTTGCTAAGATATTGCAGCCCTTGTTTCAAGATTAGGACGTGTTTATGTATATGCTATTCCTGTGCTAAACGCTGCAGGACGTCTCAGTAAAACTTACCTCTGGTTCGTTTTTGAACAAGGGAGCAGATGAGGATCAAGGTAACGGGAAAATGCTAGGAGTTCTCATGCCTGGAGAAGTCACTCTCCAAGCCTATTTTTATACACATGTAATGAGAGAATTGTTTCCTTTACGCTCCTGCTTGTAAAATAAGCAGAAAAACATGTTTTCTCTACTCATTCTCCTGCGTCTGTTTGTTTTCCTAGACCAGGCATCCAATTTCTTACTTCCCGCTCCACAGTATTTTCTTAAAGGAATTACAATTTAAATATGTTTAATATTTGTTACAGATGCAACCAGAATGAATCTTTACGACATTTCAGGGGTACAACACAAAAAGGTTAGTGCTAGCTTTTCAATAGATTATCAAGCAGCTACTTTATTCAGTTTTTTGTATTTTAAATAGTGAGATTACACTTTTCAGCAGATGTTAGGTCAAGACTGCCGACTACACACCGCTGCAGCTTTCTTCAGCAGTCTGACAGTCCCTTTACGGAGTTTCGCACCCATTGTTCTCATTTGTGAGAATGGGAGAAGTGAAAATCGAGACCTAACTCGGTGGCCACATATTCTCAGAATAGGTGCCTAGAGGGACTCAAATTTCTGTTTGGGAACGGAATTTCTTAAGGACCCTCAAGACGAGGTTTAACTGAGAACTGTGACCGCTCAGTCCTTCCAAAATTCGATTCCTTCGAGGGCCCATTTCAGCAAAGAGCTACAGCAAGTGCTTCACTTTAAATACAAATAATCTTAATGGCCTACACATGACTGAAATTAAATTCACTCCTAAATATCTGCTCCCTAAATATGTATTTAGCCAAGGTTTAGTTAAACAAACAGAAAAAAAAGTGGCCCATAGAATATTTAAAGGAAATAAAACATCGATATGAGATCGATTTTTAAGTGCCCCTATTTCTTTTCTTACTGACACTGCGTAAGGATGGGAAGGCTAAGATGATATTCACAACCGAAGAAGAACTAAAGTGATGCCTTAGCAGCATATACTGTACCAGAGGTCTGCAAACAAAGCATACAGCCCCTTCAGTGAGATCTGCGGGCGAAGCACCGGCGTGTGAGCTGAAGCAGAGCTCACCAGCGGCAAGGAAGCAGTAGCTAAGAAGACATTTGCTAAAAATACATACCGAGATTTTTAAAACTTTAAAATTTTTAAATGAGTTGAAAAATATGAAGAAAACACACACTTTTCATTACCTTTGCTGAACCCCTCCTATTAAAACAACAGATTAAAAAGAAATCAGGAACCATACATTTGCACATATTCACCAAGTCTGCTGACGGACCCCCTTTCACAATTAAAGAAACGTTACTAGGTAAACACGACACAAATATTTTCATCTTTATTCAGTCCTCTGGAACAACATGCAGGCATTTATTTATTTCTCTTTACTTCAGCTAGAAGGACATTCCGTTTATTTAGACTTTAATTAGCTCGTTGTTCTCACAAGCTGAAAGCCCTCCGGGTCCAGCAATCCTTGTGGGTCTCGGTGTTCCTTCCAGTTGGCTTGCCAATCGCGAGGCATTGTCGTGCACGCTGTTGCTCTCACAGCTGTGGACTCCATCAGGGATATTGCAGATGGGGAGGAGGGGGAAAAACAAACTCTAAGCAAGGGTATAATCTCTTCAACACACAGACCTTAATGCAATTAGCTGTTTTAATTTTAAGAGATGCTGAGGTGCTTGAAATGTCATCACTTTTACACAGATTTAAAGGGGTCCAGTTGCACAGGTTGCCAGCACATGGCCATTTTTATGGCACACCTCCATAAAAGCGATGGCATAAAAAAATCAGGGCTTTGGTGTAAGGACTTCAGATCCTATTCAGGTTTATATAACAGATGGCCAGCACACCACACATCTCATTGATGTGAACGGAAACATTAGTGCTATAGAGTTTCATCCATGTCTCACTGGGAGATTTATTTAGCAACTGTTTTGTAAATAGTTTCTATCTCAGTGGAAATTGTGCTACGTCCGTGAAAAAAAGGCAGTAAAATAAATATTACTGTAATTTCTCTCTCCCCATACTCACCTTTGCCCTAAATTAATCTTAAAAAGCCCCCTCCGACTTAAGAGCAGGAATTATTCTTGGGGACCACCAGTTATGAAAAGAAACAAGTATGACTAGGAAGTTTGTTAATGCAATTCAAATTCCTGAATCTTTAAACCCCAAATACTGCATTATATTTTCCAAACCTCTCAAAACCTTTATTAGCGCATATGGAGGCTGCAAAGTCTCTCAACAATAGATGCCTTTGTATTTTCCTAGCATGAAGGAAGCATCTGGATGAAATGTGAGTAACAGAAATGCACACAGGTGTAACGCTAAGTTTGGATCTCATGCAGAGTTCTGCTCTTTTAGAAACAGGCTTAATGAAGCAAAGATTAAAATTAGTAAACAAAGTGTGAATTCAGGAAGGAGGCTCAGGATAAGGGAATTATTAATGTCTTTAAATGATGCCTCCAAAGATTTCTGCTATTCTGAAGAATTCTACAGAATTTTAAAAACATATAAAAAGCTATGTGTGTCAATAATATGTGTAAGATGAAGTTCAATTCAGCAAGGATAAATAGCATTAATCCCAAACCTAAACAGTTAAGCAACCACGCTCACCTCTTTTGGAGCCCATACTAGCATTCAGTCTGGTTATAAATAACCTTTGCAAGGTAGCCGCCATGAATTCCTGACATAGTCAGTTCCTTAGCCTAAAGATCATCACAGTTAATGGTAAAATAAAGACAACAGTCCAGTGCAGGTATTAGCTCTGAAGGACTTTGAATTCCTGTAAGGTGTAACAGTGTTAAGCAAGAAATAAGCGAGTCAATACAACAAAATGGTACATCTCCAGAGAACAAAAGGTAAAGCAGAGGACAGCTGGTTTAAAACAGTAAAATAATATATTTTGATGCGTTTTTTAAGAAGGCAAACTCATTTTTCTATTTTTCAATTTAGAGAGAAGCAAAGGGTTACACTGAAACGCCCTCTCCCAACTCTATCCAGCCAAAAATGTTTTTGATTTTCTTTTGTTTAATCACTTACATTTTTTGGCCCAGCCAGCTGAGATGGGGGAAGAAGTTTTCATGTAAACAGTACAGAGCTGGCAAAAAATTACTTCATGGAGAAACATCAAATCCATAATCTTCATGCCGAAAGAATGGAAGCCAATGGAATTCAATGTATAGAAAGAGAAATGAT